TACTGGTTGTGTCCCTGATTATTTTAAAACGGCTTGCGTGAACCCACTTTTAAAGAAACCTGGTTTAGATCCCTCCCTCCCACATAATTTTAGACCAATTTCAAAACTGCCTTTTATTGCAAAGATTCTAGAAAGAATTGTGTCCAAACAGCTGCTCACTGTACTGGAAAATAACAAATTATTTGAAAAGTTTCAGTCTGGTTTTAGGAAGTACCACAGCACTGAGACTGCCCTGCTTAAAGTCACCAATGACCTTTTAATGTCTGCTGATGAAGGCATGTGCTCAGTCCTTGTACTCCTGGACCTTAGCGCTGCTTTTGACACCATTGATCACAACATCATGTTAGACAGACTGAGGCACTGGGTGGGATCTCTGGTACTGCCCTAGAATGGTTTTCATCCTATCTGTCAAATAGGAAGTTTTGCGTGTCTGTAAACAACTATGTCTCCTCATTCTGTCCAGTTAAATATGGTGTGCCTCAGGGGTCGGTCTTAGGACCCATTTTGTTTTCCTTGTATCTGCTTCCCCTTGGACATATTATCCATAAACATGGCATTTCTTTTCATATTTATGACACACAAATACTTGCCCGTCAGATCCACAGACCCTGAAATGCTGAGTTCACTTAACAACTGCCTTTGTGAAGTTAAAAAATGGATGTCAAATATCCTCCAGCTGAACTCTGAACAGAACAGAAATCCTGGTCATCGGGTCTCAGCAGATGGCAAATCAAATACTGCCATCTGCTGGTTCCCTAGTAAATCACATTAAGCCTGTGGCAAAGAACCTTGGTGTTTGGTTTGACAGTAATTTAAATTTCGAGCAGCACACCACAAAGCTTGTTCAATCATGTTTTTATCAACTTAGAAATATAGCAAAAATTCGATCTATGTTAACTTTTAAGGACACCGAGACCATTTTACACGCCTTCATCTCATCACGCCTGGATTATTGCAACAGCCTTTTCACCTGTTTAACCCAAAAATCTATTGATCGACTCCAGACTGTCCAGAACTCAGCTGCCAGGCTTTTAACCAGAACAAAGAAATATGACCACATTACTCCTATTTTAGCTTCATTACACTGGCTCCCAGTATGTTTTAGAATTGACTTTAAAATTCTATTGATCACTTTTAAAGCTCTTCATGGCCTCTCGCCTTGTTATATTTCTGACCTTTTAGTCCCATACTCACCAGCACGTACCTTGAGATCCTCGGGCAGAGGTCTGTTGTCTGTTCCAGAGTCTCGACTGAAAACTAAAGGGGACAGAGCGTTTGCTGTCAGGGCCCCGAGGCTCTGGAACAGCCTGCCCGAGGAAATCAGGTCAGCTGAGTCAGTGAACTCTTTTAAGTCCCTTCTTAAAACATACTTTTATAGGAGAGCCTTTCCCGATCTTATTTGACTTTATTTTATCCCTTTTATTTTATTGTATTTTACTAATTTTATATTTATCTTAAACGTGTATTTTAGTCTTTTCAATGTTTTCATGTTTTATCTTGTATTGTTTTGTATTATTGTCTTTACACTTGTTAAAGCACTTTGTAACTTGTTTTTGAAAAGTGCTCTACAAATAAAGATTATTATTATTATTATTATTATTATTATTAAAATATCTTCTAGCTTTGTTCTCGTGACCCTATTGTGCATAGTCACATCTCATGGGCTAAATGTTTTGTGAAACCCCTAATCTGGGCCCTTAAATGTCACTTTTCAACACAAAGTGTTGAAAAGTGACATTTAATCAGTCAGATTTATACTGAGATTCATGTGCACATCAATGGGGAGATTCTTCTTCGTGGTAATTTATCATTTTATATGTAGTTTATAAATAGTTCGTGTTTTATTTTTTTTTTTTTATGTGTGTTGAAAACAAAGCCGATTGGGATGAAGGAATCTGCCCAGTTGATCATATTTGATAAGCACTCTAACATGTTTTTTGTTTTGCCTTTTAGAGCGTGGCCTAAAGGACAGGTAAGTCCTGATGCTGATGACGTCACTCTCTACCTCTACTGCGAGTTTGGCTCCCGAAGCTTGATATCATTCAAAACACTTTCAATCTGTATTCCTCCCTGTGTGGAACAGATTGAGTTCATTCTTCTATGTGCAAAGTGTCATAAGGCCTACGAATATGTAGATTTGAGATGGTTTATTGCTTGTAATGGAGCTGAGATAGGATTATACAAAAGGAACAGATTAAGGGTCCGGAGGGAAGACTGAGGGATGTAGGGATGGTGAAGAGCATCGAGGGATGAAAGGGAGGGGAGTGAAGAGGAGGCCGGTGGGACTCTGAGTGGGGGAGCCGTCACTTCGTTGGGAGATGTGCAGGATCTCAGGTTCCCGTATGCAGACAAAGAGAGAGAAGGGAAGCAGCGGAAAAAAAGAAGATGGGGTTTGTGTGGGAGGGATGAGAAAGCTGAGTCAAGGTGAAGTGAATTAAAAAGTTGTGCTTAAGTACTTTGTGTGCGAAAACTGGGATGAGTTCAAGGCCTGGTATTAGTTATCTATTTTATAAAACTTAATTTAACACGCTGCATTGTATTTACAGACATTATACAGCTGTTTTAACAGGTAGTTTTCCTCATGACCAATGAACTGATCCTCATGTGTAAAAGCAAGTGCCCCTTCACAGACAAATGAAGGATAGGAAATAAAGCTCTCACATTTAATTTGGTCCTTTTAAAATATTTTATCAAAGTTACATTTATGTTGCTTAGAAGAATCTTAATGGATTTTAGATTAATAAATTAAAATGATAAAACTTGAACTAACCTGCCGTTTTAAAGAAAATATAACTTAATGCTGTCCTTTTTTTTGAGAAAGAAAATACAATCTTTCATCAGCTCTAAAAGAAGAATGACTACACATTTTATGATGAGTTTTTTATTCAGGCAGCCTGATCAAATATTTAATGTTTATGTTTTGCTTTTCTGTGTCTCTGTTCCCACTTAAACACTTAAATATGCTCATGTTTTAGCAGTGAAGGGTGAACAAATACATTACAGTATTACATGTCCAACCCTGTAATTGTTCTTTATAAGTTGTTGTTTAAATTGCGTTCACAGGTGCAGCTCCAACCCCACATGTCACAGTACTCGGTCGAACAAAGGGCAGGATGCTGCTGCAGTGCGAAGTTCGAGGTGTTTCTCCAAAACCTATCCCCTGTGAGATAGGATCAAGTTTGTTAGTGTGAGCATCACATTTACACGCAGCAATCAATTAAGGCAACAGCACAGCCTCAAGAAGTTCAGCCACCAGTTTTTGATGAGCGATAGGTTTGCCTGTGGATGCCCATAATCTTCCAAAATCATGAGTAACACCACCTGAATAATGACGTAAAAATGTTTACAGATTTATCTTTAGCATATTTACATGCTTCTGTCAGTGCAACTAATTCTGCTGCTTGTGCAGAATAGTATGAAGGAAGTGGTTTTGCCACAGTCGTTTGATGAGAAGCTACATTTTTACCAGTTGCTGGATCACGTGATGCTGAGCCCTCCACAAACAAATCCATGTCTGGATTTGTTGAGTCTTAACTTAAGGTATGTCTGCCCTTGGGGAGCGCACTTCTGTTATCACTGCAACACAATCATAAGTCTGTCTTTCGTCTGGAGGGAGTTGGGAGGAGAGTAGCAGGATTTAGTACAGTGCATCTCTTCACAGTGATGTTAGACATATCAAGCAATATAGTGTTTTATCTCAGTCACCTGGGGTGTGGAAAGATTAGATATGTTTTGTTCAAGCAAAATCATCAATACCACAACTGAACAAAGTCAGGTCTGAGTAACCCTCAATGTGAATGAATGAGACATTAAGAAATATAGTAGGCCTACATGAGACAAGAGTTTAAAATGACTACTGAGCTCACGACAGGATTTCAGGGAAATCAGGGTTAGGAAATAGGCTGTGACTTACTAAACATTTTTAATATAGAATTCAGATGACATATATAATGTATAATATAATAAGGGGTTGCTGGGGATACTGCTGGAGGTGATCTGAGACTAGAGATATTAAAACAAACATAGGAGATATATTAGCTGATTAAACAATTATGTGAGCATGACAAGATGTAAAGATTGCTGAGTGTTTGAACAGGCTCACTGACTGACCTGCTGCAGTGCTGCAGCAGCTGCCGAGGCCGACTGGTACAAGAAAACAAGAGGGAGACGCTGCACACCAGGAGCTGCAGGTACAGAAAATAAGATATACCAGATGTACCAATATACCAGATTCCAAAAGATGTGTGAAATAATATGAGAAACACTAATGGGGAAAGGATGAAAAATCCATCCATCCATCCATCCAGCTCCTCACAGATGAGGTCATCAGGTGAAAGGTCAAAATGGGGGTTATTTATTATTATTATTATTTTAATTATTAATAAATTTTTACCAACAGTTGGATTGGACAGACCTTCACAAAATGGTATTTCCAAAAACTAAAAGTAAATAAATAAAGAAAAGTTTGCCTTGTGTGGTGTCCGAACAATAATGCTGCGATGATGTGTTGAGAGGAAATCCGCTTGACACTGTTCTTGATCATAAAAGTTTATTACATCAAGGAATTCAGCATCAATTACAAGCTCTGCAGCAGCTTGGAGAGAGACCCAGCCCGATAACCACTCTGTCTCTCTGTACATCAAACACAGCTTATATAGGGCATGTTTAGGTATCTGCCAAATACCATATAAGGGTTCAGTACTATTCTGAGGTAACAAAACAAGGGGTCAGAGGTCAAATTCTATAGAAGGGTTCAGTCCCTACATAACCACCAATCATTACTCCCCCTTAAGAGGTCACTGACCCTCTGTCCTGCTGCTACAGTGCTATCTTAAACTGTAATGGTCAAATGCACATATGTTATACACCACACTTGACAAAAGGGCACTTTGGGCGTCAAAGAGCAAAATGTGTTCAAGCACCCAGCAGCAGCATCTCCACCCTCCTCTTGTTTCACGTCACAGCGCTATAAACTGTGGGCTATTCCTCCAGGCAAAGTCTGCAAAAATTTGGACTTAGGAAAGGGGAGCAAGAAGGGCTGAACCTGTACGCGAGAGAGCCCTCGCGCACTTTAAACCCTCACGGACTTAACGGGAACGCGCTTAAACACGCTGTGAGCATCTAATCAATAATTGTCCCGTTAGTGGCGTTACAGTTAAGTCACAGTGATGACTTCAACAACCATGAAACTTCTTCCTCTCGCGTGTCTCTGTCTCCTGACTCGGTCTGGAACAACGTTTGCTGATGAACACGGTAAGAAAACGACTTAACTCTTACTTAGACTGGTAATCAATATCCGGATTATTTGCACACATCCATATGAATTACCTCTGTTGCCCATCTGTATGCAGCCTCGGCTATAACCTGTCTTTCGCATTATAATTATGTTTACGTTATTTTTAGGAGCGTCCTGCAGAGAGAAACTTTATCGAGAAGAGCTTCTTGTGCCAAACCTGATTAATTGTTGGGAAACATCACTGATATAGGCTATTTATGATCAAATATAGACTCTTCATTGCTACCTCCGGGTTACTGTTTAGTTGACACCGTTTTTATTGAGAATTAAATAATAATAAATAAATAAATAAGAGGCAGAAAAGGTTGATTCTCTCTCGCGCGCTTCATTTCTCACATTTTAAATTAAGATTAAAATGAAGCACACAATTTTACTTCTAAAAGTACTTGCAATTTTTTTTGATCATCTCGACAAATTAACAAAACCCAGTCAAACACATAGGTTAAGCTCCTTCTGAAAGTCAAGGACGCCTCCTATTTCTGTTTTAACTGATATCCTGTTTTCTTGATACTTTTTAGGAAATTTTCAATAAATAAGAACCAGAAAAAAATGTTCCATTGTCCCCCCCCCTCTCTCTCTGTTCTCTCTCTCTGGCTTAATTTCTCACATTTTAAATTTAGATCCAAAGCTGTGGATTGACCTCCATGTTAATATAAACGTGTTCGGGATCTTTGTGAAAGTCTTTCTCATTATTTCCTCAGTCAGGTTGTATTTTAGCAGCTTGCTGAAAGACTCAAACCAGCAACCAGGGCACCAACAACCATGCCACGTTCAAAGTCACTAAAATCCCGTTTCTTCCCCATTCTGATGCTCGGTTTAAACTTGTCTTGGCCACGCCCACATGTCTAAATTTATGCATTGAGATGCTGCCATGTGATTGGCTGATTAGCTATTTTGGTCAATATCACCATAAGGTGCCTTTGAGACTCAAACTTTTAAACAAAACTATTTGGTCCTCATCTTTTCCTAAAAACTCATAGAAAGATTTTATAATATGTGAAAACATTTTGTTTGTTATGTTTAGTATTATAATGAAGATTAAACATAAACTATGAAAATGACTTGTTTCTGAACGAACATGCTAAGGACTATAAATACATATAGAAACTATTTTTATTTTGTGTAATCAAACCACTTATTACACTTAGTGAAGTTAGCAGAGCAGCACATGGGACATGCAAAAATCACATGCATACAATCAAATAAAATGGTATAAAATGAGGGAAACACATTTCTGGAGACTAATCATTGTACTGATGAGTGTAAATATTTGGTTATTTATAATATCTCAGAATTCAATTAGTTTACTAAGTGTTCATGATGACTGAGTGATTCTGAGGAGGACATCAAAGGCACTTTATAGTGACGTTGACACATTTGTAAAAAGTGGCTGGTGAGTGTATCTTAACACAACGCTGTCAATCTCTGAGACACACCTTCAAATAAGTTATAAGCAAGCCTGGATCACTGCTAATAAGGATAGCTATGTTAACGTACACACTGTACTGTGTATTTGCAGATGTTTCTAGCAGTTGCTCTTAAAGCTAATAAGCTCAAATCTGGCATGCTGCAAAGTAACGCCGCCCACAGCGAACAGAAAAAGTTTATAACATGAGTTGATGTTGTTCTGACAACAGACTTCTGTATGTCTTAACTTAATTGAATTATTTGTAAACATACTGATTAATACATATTTATATCTTCCAGGGTCAGTGATTATCATCATGAAAGAAGACAGGGATGTTATTTTACCCTGTTCCTTCAGCACCAAGGACAACATTGAGAACAAACTCTTTGAGTGGAGGAAAGATGGTCAGAATAGCGTGTTCAGATATGATGCAGGCCTTCATTCTAATAACGGCCATCCGGGTCAATATGAGCAGTTCAAAGGTCGTGTCTCCTATTTTGAAGATGAACGGAAGTACGGCAATATCTCCATCATCATCAGAAATACGACGGTGGCCGACAGTGGAAACTACACCTGTTATAGTCCACGTTTTATGCCACAACCGGTCCACATTCAGCTTGTTTTTGGTAAGTACAGATATCTGTTACGCAGGGGTGGAAACTTTTTAGCAAGCCTGCCAAGGTGGGAGGTAGATGGAATAAATCCACCCAACAAGCATATTTTTTACCGGCCAAAATAATAAATATATAATAATATTTGTTTCAGTACTTTAAATTGAGATTATTATGTTATTATGTCAAATACAAACTTAAAGAAGAGGCCGGAGTGAAATTGAAAGCAAAATTATATTTTTGTTATTAAATGTACTTAAGACATAACAGTAAATTGTTTTCTAAACTTACAAGATGCGTATCATCATTCAACTTAAATCTCATCACTGCTCACTCTTAATCATGCTTCATCATTTAACTTAGGCCTTCTCATCAGTAAGTAGTGTTGTGGTCAAGACCACCCAAACCGAGACCAAGTCAAGACCAAGACCAGTTCCCCACATTACATGACGCACAATAAAATGTGGAACGACATCACAGGTACTTCTCAAATTGATCTATAAGATCCACATTCCCATTAAAACACCCACATACAAACACCAAGAGCTGAAATCAGCTTAACCATCTTTATTCAACACTCCTTTTCTATGCTTACTTGCATGTAGTCGTTAACGGTAACAGCACATTTTTAATTAGGTTTATTTGTTGCATTTGAAGCAATAAGTTTTCCATCCAATCAAAGTTAGGATGTTAACAAATAATAGGAGACAATGCCTCCTGGTTCTGCCCGAACCCCTCTGCCACAGCTTTTGTAGGATGAACATTTTTTAATACAGCCTATGATTATACTCCTCGATCTCTGGGGAGGACAGCCGGACCATTAGAAGTTTTGACAGTAGATCAGACACTGACTGGACCCCAAACTTTGTTTTTTTAAGTTTCGCTTCACCCTCCTTTTCATGTGCGTTGATTTTTGGTGTGGCGCTAACGTTAGCTAGTGCTAAAAATGCTAAAATTAAAATGCTAAAAACACTCCAAGTACAACTTTTGTAATTAGCTCCAGACATTAGCCGCTTTCACGCTGCCTTTTTTCATGGGGGTATTGAACCTATCTGCGGTACGGAGCTGGAAAAGGTGTCCGACTTAATTCGCCTCTGTGCCGGGAAAGTTGGTGCCAGATGAGACAGAGACAAATAACTTTGCGTGGTTTGTGTGTGCTGCTGGTTCCGATGAAGCCGGACCGCTATGTGAAAGCACACAGGGTTGCAGGATAATGCTGCAAACTTTTGATCAGTATGAATCAGCGAATGCGACATATCTGCAGAGATTCTTTCCACGTTGATCTTCGTATTAACGTGGCTACACTCTCCCTCAGACAAAGATGTGACATAGAGGTAAACGGAGTTGCCAGAGCATAATCCAGTCCGACTAAGGGTGTTTATTTGTCTCAAAACTTAACTTCACTTGATTTAACATGTTTTTTCTTCTTTGTAAAACATTTTCCCCATCAGTCAGGGATGCAGTGTACACCCTCTGGATTCAGTCTCAGCCTGTCCATTTTAATTCAGTACCCAGTATTTCAAGTCACAACTAATTTTGACTTAAAATTGAGATCTTAGATCAAATAAGGCAATGAAAAAAGTTTGTTTTAATGTAAAAACACTGCTTAAGTGTAGCTCAAACTGAATGTGTGATTACATACAACTCCAGTTTTACCCCATAAACTGCCTGCAAATTAAGGAGATCATGTGGAGAGAAAAAACACATCTGTCAAACCTTTCAGGTTGATGAGCGGTTTCATCCATCATTAGTGACCGAGCTAAGCTCAAATGAAAATAAACACAAAGCAAGACCAAGACTTCAAAAAATGTAGTTGAGATTGAACCATAGCTCTTCAATCATCTAGTACTCAGTAACTGTACTCTGTTGTGCCTGGAAATGAATTACAAACAGGAGAGCCTAATTCAAACCTTATGTCTTGTTCATGGGTAATAGCTTACAGGAATTAGATCATCAGCAGTGAGAGGGAGCTGCATATGATTTGGAAAATGAAACTGCCTTAATGTCATTCTGAATCAGAGGCAGCAAAACCTTTATTCTTCTTTTGAGACGTGCGCTTCAATTTATAATTACAAAGCGCACAGATATCAGATATTATAGAGATGGGAAACAGAGCAAAGAAAAAGATCACTTATGTTTAACTATATTTAAAGTACTCGATAAAGCATTCGTCCTCCAAGCCATACAAAAGGCCCTCTTGCTGAATTGTCTTGTCAACCCTGAAGTTCAGAGTTATGCAAGTAGAAGAAAGATCAGCTAATGGTACAACTTTATCAGACTGGCGGGGGCGGGATGAAGTTGTCAGTGACATGACTGGAATGTTTCAGTTTAAATATCTGAAAGCTGTAACATATTTTCATAATACAGTTTAGGCTTTGCCTGAGCTGTGAAGTGGTTGTAGGAGGCCCTCTAGGTAAGCAACAAACCTGTCAACCTAGATGTCAACCTTAATTGAAAGCAGATGTCATATTCCCTGATTCTGGCCCCCAGAAAAAGGGGAGGGGGGGGCAGTAGGGATCAGTCAAGACGGTGGGGTCAGTAATCTGTTGTAGGGGGAGTTGCAGAACATGTTTAACCTTAAGGGCAGTCCTTAATTTGTAAATTATTTGGTACCAGAGTGCATTAAATGTGCTGAAAATAATTGATTCATAATTATGATGAAGTAATTAATTAGGCTTTTTAAAATGCATGGCGTACCTGCACATTGTTTTAAAGGGCGAACAGAACCATTAGTAGCTACCAAATCAAATAGTAAATAAGGAAATCCATTAGGCTTACCCTATTATGCTGGCTGAAATCTTGTCCAGAAAAACAGAACGCACATTAAAGGTGCCAGAGCTCAAAAGGCTTAAACCCAGAGGTACTGGAGCAGCCGCTTGCTTGCTTGTTCCCGCTCCCTTTCTCTGCCATTTTTATTGTATTAATTTTACATTGTTAGGATTGTATTGATACATTTATTGATACTATTTATTGCTTCTGTTCTTTGTCTATACTCTTATTGGTTTTTTAAAAAAATATGTCATTTAAAAAAAAGAATAGCTCAATTTCTGTAGAGTAATTGAATTTAATGTTTTATTATAACTAGCTGTTTGCAGAGCAGCAACAAAAGTAAAGTTTAGAGCAGCAAAATAACAATATAAGATCAGTATCTGAAAACAAATGGTACATGAAAAATAAACTTGTATTTCTGACAGAGCGTAGACATCAGTATCTGTTTTTCCTCAGTCCTCCTCCTCCCTCTGCTGCTGCTGGTAGAGAGGAGCTGGTTTCTGTCAACAAGCAGCTGATTTTACAAGGATTTGCAAAACTTTACGGTACGAAGCATCTCAGTTTATAACAAACTAGCTATTAGCCGAGCTAGCACATGTGCTTGTGTAAAACCAAGCACATGTGCTGGATGAGACAGAGCAGCTTAAAATATGCTAATGCAGTATCAGTCTTTTACTCAACTGCTGGTTTTGCTGCACTTATGCTACGTTCAAGGCAACTCGTAACTCTGAAACATCCAACTAGAAAAACTATCGTGGAACGCTACTTGAAGTCAGATTTCCTACTTGTGAACTTGGAGAAAAAATATGTACTCTGACTTCACCAGTAGCAGATGAATGACATCACACAAAAATGTCAGCTCTCATGGAAGCACACATTGTAAATAAACAAAAAGGCAACAGATATATATATTTGCATGTATTTAAATTAAACTAATAAACAATCATATAGTGAAACCTGGTTTGCATGCACATTGATGTAGAAATATGTTTATCGGTAGCTGGTCACAAAAAAAGAATCTCAAATTCATCTTCTCTGCGTAAACGTTATTGTTAATAATGCCAAAAGGTTTGAAGTCGCTCTGTGTGTGCTCTGCTGAGAGAGAAGGGGAGGGGCTGCAGCTCGATGGCTCGCTCGTTCCATTGGCTACTTCCACACTACAGTCAGTAAATATCGGTGCCGATAATCAGCCAGCCGATTATTGGTCGACCCCTAGTTGAACTCGCTATTTTCTATATAACAGACCTTCAAATAAGGTATAAGCAAGCATGTAAGGAGTCTTGCTAATAAGATAACTATGTTAACGTGAGAATACAGCTGGGTTGTCGAGGTTAGCACGCTGTACATAGCTGCTTGTCAACATCGGTCACCAGATGCATGTTTGTTGTTATTGTCTTTTTACTTTCTAATTTATTCATTCACGTTTGACTTTAAGTTCTGTGTTTTCATCGTCGTTCTTTTTCATCTTCCTTTTTATTAGTGTGCTAAGTGTCGAGTCAGTGCTGATGTTCGTCATCACCTGGGAAAAAGAAAGAGAGAGATAAATGTTATTTATTATCAATATTGAGGCAGGTCTTAAGTTTGTGCTAAAGGACTATTGCGTGAAAAAATAAAGATTCTAAATAAAGAAACAAAAAAGATAAACGCCTGAGAAACAATTAAAAGGTAAAGTGTAAGTGCAAATATCTGGAGGACAAAGTGCTTGACAAGTTCAAAGAACAGGAAAAGTTTCATGTAATACCATGAATAGATATATTGTTCCAACAACACACTTCTATATGTCTGTCTTAACTTAACTGAATTCATTGTAAACATACTTTTTATCTTTCAGGGCCAGTGATCGTGAAAGAAGGCAGTGATGCTATTTTACCCTGTTCCTACAGCACCAAGGACGCTGTGGAGAAACACTTTAACTGGAAGAAAGATGGTCAAAAGGTGGTGTTCATGTATGTTAGAAGCTTTCCTTTCGGCTTTCCAAATCAAGATGAGCAGTTTGAAGGTCGCGTCTCACATTTTCCCAATCTGAAGTACGGCAACGCCTCCATCCTCATCAGCAATACGAAGGTGACTGACAGTGGCATCTACACCTGTGATTTTCCACTTTGGCCAAGACAACTAGTCCACGTTCAGCTTGTTGTTGGTAAGTGCTTTCATTAAACAGTTATTGATCGCCACTAGTGATGTAACGGTTCTGAAAGACCTGGACCGCGACACAAACGCCCCTATTTTGTGTTGCTGTTCCGAGGGACAGAACCGCGTCACACCCACTCACTACAGACAATAGGTGCGTTCGAGTTGACTTTTTGACCTGATGCTCCAGTAGAGTGTGTGAGCTAAGATCAGGCAAAAGGTGGTTCCAACTTTATGCAGCCGGAGTAAAACCGCTGCTGTTGCCAGATTCAGACAACTGCAGCTGCCTTGTTCCGGCAAGGTTTAACTGTCATGCGACATGGTGACGTTTTGCACCATGGGCGAAAGTTGGACAGAATTAGGCACAGTTGCTCTGCTTTAATCTTGAGAAGCTGCAGAGCTGCACCCTCTGTTCATCACTCACTGTAACTTACACTGTACATTTCCAGCTGAACTGTGGCTTATTGTTGACTTTCTCTCTGCTCGCCTGCCATTCACTGGTCTTGTGTCGATTTTGCTTGTGCGTGCCGTGCAGCCGATAATTGCATGTATGTCGTGGTTTCTGGCGGGTTTATCCAGTAGCCAACTGTTAAAAAACAATATAATATTCTTTTTGTTGATCATCAATGGTGATAAATGATCCGAACGTCCCGGGAGTCCCAGGTGTGTGTGTCTGCCACACCTGCTGAAGCGCACGACGCCTCCTACCTAAACGATTAGGGCCACAATTTAGGATTTATTTACGCACTTTAATAAGCTTATTTCTTTACACATTTTTGTTTACAGCATTATATGTCGATTTTTATATCGTAAAAGGCTGTTTATTAACTTATTAAGAGAAAACCGGTAGTTCTATGTAAAATTAGATGTTGAGCTCCCCCATATAGCCAAAATGGTCCTATTTTCATTACGCCACTGCGAAGATTCAACGGTGAAATTGACGATCGAATCAGGCTCCGCCTATCAAGGCGGAATATTTTCGACTCTTCGGGGTCAGCCCTAACTTTTACACAACCTCAGCATGCAGTTATATTTAAAATATCCAAATCTATTCCTGTTCTTTAAAAACAACCAGGGAGTTAATATGCACACTTCATTATTTGTTTATCTATCACAAGTCATATCATCATCTCAATGAGAATGTTATCACACATCGCAGACACAATGTCAATGCTGTAGCAACTCAACTTTGCGCATCAATTAAACAAAATACATCGACTCCAAATCTCTCTTCGAGTCAGAACACCTCCAGCTCTGGCTGCCGTTGGGTCTCGTCTTTCTACCAAATAATAGAAAAGTTTTGATAGTGGTATCTATAAGGTCTTGGATCATTACGCTGTCTCAATAATCTGTCATCTGTTAGCAGTTGTAATAAGTTACCAAATATTTTAGTTATGATAGTTTAAATTATGTTGTATATAAAACAAGGCTGGGGTGTGTAATAAAGGCTTATGTTGTACTTTTCAGTTTTTTCTGTTCCCACTGAAATAGGCTTATATACAAGCAGAGAAGGGTAAACAAAAACATTGCAGTAATACATCTCCAACAATTGTTCTTTATAAGTTATTTAAACTGTGTTCACAGATGCAGCTCCAAGGCCATACATCACAAAACTCAATGAAACAGAGGACTCTGTGCTACTGGAGTGTGTTTTCCAAGGTAATTCTTCAAAACCTACAGTAGAGTGGCAGGACCGTTCTGGAAACATCCTTCCAGCTGAGACACAGGTCTCAGAAAGAGGAGGCAGCTTCAACATCACCCTCCAAACTTCTGTGACCAAGACCGACGGCTATCGCTGTGTCACCATACAGGAGGAATTCAAACATCCGATTTATTCTGAGATCTACGTGCCATTCATTGGTGAGATTCTTTCTAGTGGTGTTTTTTTATTTAAGTAATTTTATTAGTTGTGTTATTAATTTTCAACATGTTTATGAGTGTGTTTAGACTGAACACAAAGCAGATTGTTAAGTTAAAAATGTTTCAAACTGAGAGAAAGATTCACACTTATACTGAGATCAGTCTGATCAAACATAGGAACACAAACCTCTCCTGGTTAAAGCTGGGCTCGATTCACACTACTAACAGAGAATTAAAAAGAATACAATCTCCGTCCACACCCAGCATATTAGAGTTGATCTCCGTCTACATAAAAACAACTGAAAACGTACATCTAGTGGCTGTACGTACAATGGAATAAGCTTGCCGGTGTAAACATGAAGCAGATGGTCTATTCCGTAGTTACAGAATATTTGGTGAAAGAATAAAGAAATACAGACTAAGAATCAGACTAGATTTTCTTTGCATGCACCAACAAGCTGGAACTGTTATTGAATATAACACGGTGTGTGTTGCCGGTGAAAAACAGACTGGGAGTCGTCGCAAAGTAAATGTTGACAACACAGTACAAGTGTAGGCAGATAAGTCTTATTTACACAATACAGAATATTTTAATAAAAATACCAAATAAAATACTCTGTCAGTAGCATTGTGCTTTTGCTTTGCATGACTTATAACACCCATGCAACATCGTTTCTGAAGTCCTCCGTTTTGGCCTGTCTTCTCTAAAACGCCCTCCGGAGTTTTGAAACGCAAAACGGGGTCGGCAAACTTCTCCATTTTAGGTCTTCGTTTTCGCCGTTGTAGTCTGTTTTAAAACGAAAACGCAGTAGTGTGGATGGGGTTTTAGTCAAACCACACCTCTTGCTTCTCCTGGACCGTAGTGTGATTGAACCCATCCTCCTGTCCTGTGCTTCTACTTCCCCTACTCTCACCAATAGAAACAATCTCCTTAAAATCACTTTACACTTCTTCTAAAATAAATGGTCTCCCCGCTCCTGACCTGCCAGCCCTCAGAAAACACGGAAGTACAAGTGTAGAAGTGTCATTTGCACAGTACAAGTATTTAAATAAAAATAAGAAAGCATTATGTTTTTGCTTTGCATGACTTATGTTGGGAAAAGTTCAAGCTTTTTCATCTGGTCTGATTTTTTACACAACACTCGACTTACAAATAATTATGAACTGAATTCATTCATCCACGTTTGACTTTTAGTTCTGTGTTTTTCTTCTTATTAGTGGGCTGAGTGTGCATACTGAGACAGTCTGAACAAGTCAGTGCTGATGTTTGTCATCACCTGGGAAAAAGAGAGAGAGAGAGAAATGTTTTTTTAGTATTATTAATGCTTTTTGCTAAAGGACTGTTGTGGTAAAAATAAGGAATCGAAATAAAGAAATAACAAAGATAAAACATTCCAGGGAAATAATTACAAATACATGTAAGAAGGTAAAATGTACAAATATCTGGAGGACAAAGACAAAGTCCTCGACAAGTTCAAAGAACAGGAAAGTTGAACATGAGTTGATATGTTGTTCTAACAACAGACTTCTATACGTCTGTCTGAACTTAATTTAATTAATTGTAAACAGACTAATTGTTACATGTTTTTATCTTCCAGAGTCAGTGATCGTGAAAGAAGGCAGTGACGCTATGTTACCCTGTTCCCACAGCAGCAAGGAGGACATTGGGCAGAATCTCTTTGAGTGGACAAAAGATGGTCAGAAGTGGGTGTTTATTTATAATGGAGGCATTCATTTTAATAACGGCTTTCCAGGTCAACTTGAGCAGTTCAAAGGTCGCGTCTCACATTTTCAAGATGAACTGAAGTTCGGCAACGCCTCCATCATCATCAGAAATACGACGGTGGCCGACAGTGGAAACTACACCTGTGTTCTTCCAATTCTTAGGCCACAACCTGTCCACATTCAGCTTGTTGTTGGTGAGTGTTTTCATTAAACAGTTAAGGACGGCAGCTAGGGCTGAAACTGAGATTGAATCAGCGACACAAACGGTCTCGTGTTGTGAATCTGTCCCTCGGAGCATCAACACAAGACCCACTCGCTAGACTGTTGAGCTCTCATTCAGGGGTGCGTTCGAGATGACTGTGGCTGACTTTTTGACCTGATACTCCCATAGTATTCTACCATTTGGAGAATTGTTACACCCATAATGGCCGTTGATGCAACTGAAGAGTCCCAGATGGACTTTTGTCAAGTTGTCATAATAAACATCTGGCAGGGCCTCACCCCCACAGAGCTGCAGCCACATCTGGAGCTTTGTGTGGCCGCATAGCCTGATTGTTCGAGTTAGAGAAGCCAGATAATGAAAAGATGTCCTTGGTATGTTGCTTCGTAGTACAGGCCCCTGCTCTATATGAAAAGTGCACAGACAGGGGGACGGACTGAGGGAGAGGGAACACACAGCAGCACAATGCAGGTTCCACATAGAGATGAACAGTAATTGTAATGGTAGAGGTAATAATATAAATATCTATAAAATAAATAAATAAATGTAGAGATGGTATCTGCCTCCCAAATTAAACTTGGGAGCAGTCTGTTCAATTAACAGGAAAACACATACTGGAGTTAAAAGTACAGTGTTTGAAATTTAAGGCTGACCCTGAATAGTTGAAGATTAAATGCTTTGATAGAAGGAGCCTGATTCAACCGCCAATCTCGCCGTTTGCAGAGGCGTTATGAAATGAGGATCATACCGTTTTGTAATAAGTTAACATGCTGCCTATTGCAAAACTTTATAAAGTGCGTGAATAACCATAACCAATCACCATTGATGAACTACACAACATCATTATATCATTTTTCAACAGTACTTGAAATAGACCCGCATGCAATTATTAAATTAGCTGATGCTTTTATTTGATCAGCTCCCACTCTGTGATCTCCTCCCTCACTACAGTGGGCTGACACAGGAGTTAAAGTTGCTCTTTCTGGAACTGAAAATGCAGTATTTCCCTCTCCTCAGGGTGAACGAGTTGTCAGTAAACTCGCTTTCTGGACTACACCTGCATCTAGCACCAGCTCCTGTGGAGCTGAGAGGCTGACAGGCAGCACAACCTCTTAATATCTTCAGGTCTCCATAAAAGGGTACAGCTTACATTCAAATGAAAATATAAACATATTGAACAACACTGCTAATTTGGCAATCACTCAGGCATAAGAATCATAGTTAGATAGCTAACATTGTTTCACATACTTCCGTCCAAAAACTTTCCTTTTCCATTTTGTCATTTGGCAGTGACTTTCATCCCTGCAAGAAATTCCCATAATCCACAATCCTGCTGCATGAAGAGTAATGAGTGGAAATTGAAGCCTGGTCCGTCACACCAAAGGCAAGAAAATTATCCGCTGAACTATGGACATATAGACATTCTGACTTTGCGCATACTCACCATAAAAATACTTACTTATTTACATTTATTCATTTAGCTGACGCTTTTATCCAAAGCAAATTACAATTGCTATATATATCAGAGGTCAGAGGCCTCTGGAAAAACTAGGGGTTAAGTGTAAATATGCATTGTTTATAAACACCTCTGACATACCCGCCAAACAAGAAAAAACATATAACTCAAAGCATGAGAAATGGCGTAGAGCATCAGATAATTTTAAAAAATAAAAATCCTGTGCAGACTCCCAATCACATATCAACAATAAAACAAAATTAAAGCTGCAAGCAGCGTTGTGCAGCGCCCTCGCATCTGTAGCACGTCAGGATGTGACGCGGTCGCGCGGTATATTCTGCAGCTCTGCGCCAGTGCGGCTCTGAATTCTCACGCGCTTTGAACGCTGCATGGAGGACTTCAACATCACTTCCCGTGTCTCCTAGAGAGCATCCGGTAACTATTCGTTATGTCAAGTGCGGAACACATCAGGAAAATGTTATTTAAATAGCGTGATGAGTTTCACAAAGCGCCTGCTTCATGTTGCCAGTAAGTGGCGCTACCACTATAAATAAATATTGGCATGTAGATGTTTTCAGGGCGGGACAGTTATCAAGCACGTAAAGTTTGGTGCAGATTTGAGCAGGTACAGTGAAGTAACGACAACTTCCTGTTTCAAGGAGAAGCGTGTAACTTCGTTAAACTAGTTAAAATTGTTTAAATTGTGTTAATTATATAAACAAAAAGGCTGGTGTGTGTAATAAAGGCTTATGTTGTACTTTTCTGTTTCTCTGTTGCCATTTAAATATGCTCATATCCAAGCAGAAAAGTGTGAACGAAAACATTGCAGTATTACATCTCCAACCCTGTAATTGTTCTTTTATAAGTTGTTGTTTAAACTGTGTTCACAGGTGCAGCTCCAGAGCCATACGTCACAATACTCAATGAAACCCAGGACTCTGCGCTGCTGCAGTGTGAAGTTCGAGGTGCTCCAAAACCTACAGTAGAGTGGCAGGACAGTGCTGGAAACAAACTTCCTGCTGAGGAGACACAGGTCTCAGAAAGAGGAGGCAGCTTCTACATCATCCTCCAAACTACTGTGACCAAGAGCGACAACTATCGCTGTGTAGCCACACAGGAGGAGATCAAACATCAGATTTATACTGAGATCCACGTGCTGTTCAATGGTGAGATTCTTTCTAGTGGTATTTTTGTTTTTCAGTCATTTCAATAGTTGTGTTATTAGTTTTCAAACATGTTTACGAGTGTGATTAGACTGAACAGAAAGCAAATTTGGATGAAGACGTCTGCACAAGTTGAAAATGTTCAAACTGAGAGAAAGAGAGTCTGGAGTGAAGTAACAGAAAGAACTGCAGTTTGTAGGAAACTCTGAGATCAGTCTGATCAAATACACACAAGGACACGGAAGAATTTAGTAAACTTCACTGACAAACCCAGTAACAGATTTATAAATGGCTGCTGCAGCCTGATCCTGAGGATCGGATGAAAACACCTCACCAGGGAGATTTAGAGACTTTAGAATCAGAGAGTTTTTGTGCCACAAGTGAAAAGAAAAAAGGTCCTGAACTTGAAGAATTATTTAGCCACATGTCTGCAATAAAATACGCCGAGGCTCTCTGAAGGTTTTATTATCTGTAGTTTGATAAATAGATTAGATGGAGAGCAAGATAAACTTTATTGATCCCAAAGGGAAACTGCTTAGTTACAGCAGCCAAGTCCAACATGAATCACATAACAAACAACATGAGGACACTCAAGATTTAAGTCATTGATGATTTTATCAATTTATTTTAACTAGAAACTGAAAACTGTAAAAACTAGGACCAGACTTTACCTCTAAAAATAAAATATCAATCAGTTCCTGGTAATAATGTGACAGCATGGCAACATATTGGCTTTCTGATTTTAATCTAGACATCACTGGGCAGCCGTCAGTGGTGATAGAAGTACTCAGACTCTTTACTGAAGGAAAAGCACAATGTAAAAATACTCTGTTATAAGTTAAAGTCCTGCTTATAAAAGTCACCTTGAGTAAGAGTACAGATGTATCTGTTAAATGTATTTAAAGTAGAATAAGTATCATGATGATCACTTGTTCTGTATGTAAGATCAAAGTAACTAGTAACTGTCTGATCAATGTAGTGAATAGAAGTATAAAGTAGCATAAAATGAAACTTGTACTTCCACTGCAAAGTAAAACATAAACCTATCTCAGCCTCATGTTTAAGTGTAATGTTTCCTGTTAACAAAGCTTATCAACACTCGCTGTAACAGCAGCTGTGATAAAATCCAGATGTGGTTCTGAGCCGTAATCCAGAGTCCACGGTGGCCTCGGCTCAGGGTGCAGAGAAGCTCGGCTGTAGACAGATCGCCTCACACGTTTGCAGATCTCAGCACAGCGGGAGTTTAGCAACAGTCACATGTAAACAGGCTGAAGTAGAGGCGGCAGGACAGAGATTCAAACCTTCTTCCTACTGATGAGCAGCACGTCTCAGAAAGAGGACGATGCTACGACATTACCCTCCTCACTACTGAGACCAGAACCAGAACCAACCTCTTAGCTGTGGAGCCCAGCAGGAGGCGACTGGCCATAAGATCAATGCTAACATCACTGTTCCTGCTGAGACTCATCCCAGTGCTGTTTGGATCTGCTAACAGTTTTAGCTTCTAGATTTCAGGAGCGTGCACACCTTTAGATGTTCTTTGTGTCGGCTGTGATGTTCAACCTGCTGTTTATGATGTGCAGCTACGTTCTGACTGTTACATTCACTTTTTATCATCTGTTTCAGAGCCCCCCACTCGATGGGTGTTTGCTGCAGTTCTTGTTACTCCTCTAGTTGTCTGTGTTCTTCTAGCGCCTTTTATTTACAGGTTGCATCAAACTCAATGATGAGAATGGTATGTTTAAGCAGACACAACAAGTTTGATTTTTGCCCGTTGTTTTTATCTATTCAGGCATTAAGCATTCTATTGGTATTTATATGCAGAGTAGGTTCATGGCAGGTAGGATTTCCTTCAATATAATTTGTTTTCTTTCCTGCAGGTTCACAGATTGACTATGATCGGTGTATTGACGAATATAAAGGGCGGACTTGACTTATAGAAGACTTTGTACTTTGGGGTACACCTGGACAATCTAATGGATCCAATACAACTGTTCTGCGATAAAGTCTTCTGTTATGATGCCTATAATCAGTTTTGTCTTTGTTTCTTGAAAATGTCATAGAGGTGTTGATTCAATTAAATGTTTTAGCGTTGAGGTCAGAGTTAGCGGTGGTATTTTACTGGACTGCATTATATTCAGGGGTGTTTTTTATTCTCTGCACCCCTCATGTTTGTACTCAAGTCAAGTTTATTCATAAACCACATTAAGCTCTTTACACACCAGCGGTCTTATTTATAAATGGTGCGTACGCAAAGGTTGTGATCTGTGAAAAACCAACTTGACGGGAGAATGTGCGGTCATCCACGCAAACTCTGAGCCATGCGTACGCACATGATACTGGAGAAAGCAACTAACAAGCGGATGGGTCATCTACTGCGTCTTGTGTCCCCTTGTGTACGCATTTTACTCCGCAGTGGATAAGACACATCCCTTTGGTGTGAGAGACCCGGGTTCAATTCCCCACTGTGACACATCCACCAACGTGTCCTTGAGCAAGACAGTTAGATGCTCCAGAGGCGTGTGATCTCTGACATATATAGCAAATGTAAGTCTCTTACAATGTGATGATGAAAGCGTCGGATAAATGTAAATGCAATCATTTTTCTTGCTTCAGCCGCACAGAAAAGGACATTGGGTTATATTTCTTTTTGTAGCTTTTCTGTCTGTTTGCCATTCTTATCTTCATGCAGTCAGTTTGTATTAATGAGGAGCGGTTCACTGACCATTTATAGGCAACTATGGGCGTTTAAGGGTTGGGCAAGGAGCTCACTCACATGCGCCACACTTTAAGTTGATGAGTGATTTATAAAAGGAAATCGGCGTAGGACATATAAAAACCAAAATATTTTTTGTGCACAGTTCCTGTGTTTTATCCGAACGCAACCTTTAGCAGTCTTTCCTATGTAAAGTTTTATCAATGAGTTTATAAAATATATAGGATCCACCTACTTCCCTGTATGTGTCTGCTCTGTTTACATTCTCTCTAAGCAATTGGCTTTTTTATAAAATCAAGGAAAAGAGACAGAACTCCTGATTTCAACCCATGATTGTGTTTTCAGCCCATGGTGCGCTGCATGCGAAGGAGGATTCTTCATAGGGGTGCACAATATATTGACTCAATGTCATTATCACTTTAATTTGTGAATTATGTGGCAGAAAGTGTGCAATGTTCTGTGGATACATGCATCTGTTGGCTGTGTGGCTTAGTTGAGTTCAATTTAGAGGTCGCTTGATATAATGATCATTTTTCATTGGCCAGTTGCGCCGTCATATGAAAGTGTGAGCAAATAAGTCCACTACACGAACATACACTATGGAGCATACCAGGTGACATTTGTGCATACTTCACGTATCAGTGAAGAGAGAGAGAGAGAGAGAGAGAGAGAAGAAAATGGGGGGAAAAGGACAGAAAAGTAAGAACATGGGAGACAACGAAACAACGGAGATCGAAGGGGAAACATATCAGAAAAACGTCTCATCGACTTGTCTTTTTTACACATGTATAAGAATATCGAAATTAATATTGTTTGTTAATTTTCCTGATCAATATCACAGTATGTTAATATTGTGCACCCCTACTTCTTAATGACAAATCATTTCGAAATGACCGAAGCCAACGTGGTACAGAGTGTCATCTGCACTGGTGTGTGCTATGTGTGGGGAAACACTGGACTGGTTATTTTAATATTTTATTTATTTTCAATTTTTATTTTTTTAACACACACTGTTATTGTTTTATTTACTTTGTGTTTAATATGTATGTATATATATATATATATATTTTTTTTTTTTTAATAGTGATTAATGAGCTGTATAAAATGAATTGTTCTTTTGTAATCTATTTGTAGCTTTGGCAAATGTTGTTTTACATTCATGCCAATAAAGCTAGATTGAATAGTGACTACTTTTAAAGTCTGTAAATTGTTTCAGTTATTTATTGCTCCTGAAATCTAAAAGCTAAAACTATCATTATTCTAATGAGCTTTTCAGGATGATTGAATAAAATATTGAATTTGACCTACTCACTGCTGGTCTGAATCAGGGAGAGCCAAGTCGTTAATGTTATGGCCCTTTTCCAGTCCATGGTACCAGCTTGCATTTTTTTGGTTTGGGGAAGTGGGGAAAAGCTGTACCTGGTACTTTATACAGGAATGAATTCATTCATCACTCTCGTGGGTCCTCGGAATTTTTCGTTCATTCGGCAGGCGGACTTCCTGCCGGCGCTGGAGATGAGAGGCAAGTCGGTTGTCAGGTAAGCAGTCACTCAACTGACATTAAATAGCTTTTTTGTTAATTATGTGGCATTTAATAAAGCATAATGTTATTACAGCGCAGGGCCGCTGTTCCATACCGTTAAAGCGTTAAAGCAGCCATACCGCAACGTTAGTCCTCCGGTGTGTTTACAGCTAACAGCTGATGGGAGTCATTCTGGGTCTGCTAGAGAACACAAGTTTTACTTTTTATTTATCAACAGAGCCGTGCTGTTGTTTCACAGCTCTTGACTAGTGAACAACCTGCAAGTGTTTGAGAGCGATGTGCTCATTTTGTTTCTCTCAGGCTCCAGGATCTGATCTGAACCTGCGGTGGCCCATTCTGCATCTAAACCTGCCAAACTGCTGCGTTTTTAATCTTTATATTTCTTTGTTCTTTTTTTCTCTGCTGGAGTTCTTTTTAAGAAGTTAATGGCTTTATTCTGATTGTTATTGTATTCAGTGTTTGAGAACTGCTCTGTTTTTTTTACATCACCCACAAGAGGGCCACAGCACCGCAATGACCAGCCTAGTTCAAATGAACAATATGACTCGAAAAAAGATTAGTTCATTTTACTGAACGAGATTTAAAGATTTGATTCAGTAAAAAGAATCAAACTTCCATCACTACTGATTATTGACAAGTTAGTACTTAGCATTAATAACAAATTAGAGACCAGAGCCATTTTCTTGCACAAGGATTAAATAGAAAAACAAAAACAACCCACAGAAGTTAAACTGCTGTAACTGGAATAAAATAGTATACCATCCATCCATCGTCAACCGCTTATCCTGCGTACAGGATCACCGGGGGCTGGAGCCTATCCCAGCTGACATCGGGCAAGGTACACCCTGGACAGGTCACCAATCCATTGCTAGATAAAATAGTATACCATTATATAAATATAATAATTAATATATTAACATTATACTAACAATATCCTATGAAGTGAACGTTATACTCTTTATTTAAAGTTATAATATTATACTAACACGCTCATGTATAATAGTTCCTCCTCCAGGTTGTGGACAGGGTCTCTGCAGTTCAGCCAGAGTCAGGATATCAGTGTACCTATATTTGTTCCTTCAAGCCGCTTGCTCTGTAGAGAGTTTTAAATCCATTGTTATGAATTTTGTTTATCGTTTAACTTTGTTTAAGTTGAGAAATGCACATTTCCAAATGTCAGTATTTTGTGCATTTTCCTGTGCGATATGAATTCAAGTGCTCAACAAGTTCAAAGAACAAGAAAAGTTTCTTTTGATAAGAGGAGTTGATATGTTCTTCTAACAACTAACGTCTTTATGTCTGTCTTTACTTAATTTAATTAATGTTTAACATATTAATACATGTTTTTATCTTCCAGGCCCAGTGATCGTGAAAGAACACAGTGATGTTATTTTAAACTGTTCCCTCAGCACCAAGGAGAACATTGAGTACAAACGCTTTTACTGGAAGAAAGGTGATCTAAAGGAGGTTTTCATTTATGATGCAGGAACTCAGTCCAATAACGTCTCACATTTTCCAGATGAACTGAAGTACGGCAACGCCTCCATCATCATCAGAAATACGACGGTATATGACAGTGGAGACTACACCTGTGATTTTCCAAAACTTCAGCCAAAACAAATATTCCACATTCAGCTTGTTGTTGTTGGTGAGTGTTTTCATTAAACAGTTAAAGATTTATTTACTGATGTGACTGGTTTAAGAGTCTCAGACGGACTTTTGTCAAGTAGTCAGAATAAACATCTGGCAGGGCCTCGTCCCCACAGAGCTGCAGCCACGTCTGTAGAGATTACCTCTCTATCACTTTTCACTCACACTGATCAGAAATGTTGTTATATTATTCTGTTTCTTCTGCTCCCGTTTCTTTCTCTTTAAAACACTGCATTTCATTTACAGATATTATATAGCTGTTTAAACAGGTAGTTCTCCTCATGACCAGTGAACTGATCCTCATGTGTAAAATCAGATACCTTTACAGATAAATGAACAATAGGAAATAAAGTTCTCACATTTCATTTAGTCCATATAAAACAAATGATCAAAGTTACAAATTTAAGTTGCTCATAGAATCTTAATGGATTTTGATGTTGTGATTGATTCATCACATCTTTGACTCTGTAATTCTTTTTTTCTTCCACAGAGTGATGGAAGAATTCAAATGATAAAACATTATCATTTTTTTTCTTCTTTCTTTCTTATTTTTCTTTTCTAAAACTGTTCGTGCAGTAAAAACTTCCTGAACAAAACCCTGAACCTGGGTTGTAAATTCCTCCCACTACTCAGGCCAAAACCTCGTGGTGGCGCTTTAACAATCAACATTACATTTTAGCAATTATCTGGAATATGGCTTTGTTTGGAGTGAAAAATCCATATCATTCTAATCTCTGATTTCATCTGCATCTTGTTTCAGTGGTCAAAATAGTTTTTCGCAAACTCATTAAACATTGTTAGGTGAGTAGATCACAAACTTTGGGAGGATTATCTACAGGCTTCGATGATCTAATGATATCAAAAGAATTTTCAAACAATCTGTTCTTTTATTATTATTTTTTGTTCTTAACCCACAATTTTACATACTTTACATGCTTGTAAATCAAAATTCGCTTAAGGGTTATCCAGACTTGTGCTTCTGTTATTAAACAAGTTGGAAAATATGTTTGCAGTTGTGATAAATTACCAAATGTTTTAGTTAAACATAGTTTAAAATAAGTTCGAAGACCAAGGTACTTTATACTCTAGACAGTATAGGGTCCATATGGTCCCTTTCCCAGGTACCTGTCAGGAGCCTGGGCCAGTAGCAGGTGGGACCAGGACTGATCCCAGTATACGGGGAAGTAGTCCAGGATACAGTCCAGTTAAACACCACCAACTATGACAAAATAAATATATAATTGAAATTTACACATATAAGACATAGTCAATAAAAACTTTACATTTCTGGCACTGTTGTATCAGCGAGTTGGACCCTAACAAGGCCACGTTCGCATCAGCGGATCAACAGGGTGGCGGTAAAGCTCTGTATGCTGCAAATGGCTTTTAGTGTATAAATATTTTGGCATGTGATTACTTACTTACCACAGCTGAGCAGGTGGGTGTGTGTGCTGTGAAAAGGTGAAATGACTGTGATAAAATATTAAGGTAAGTGTGTGTTTGAGCAGAGACAGACACAAAACTTTGTTTGGTTTCCTAACATGTCCGTTTGCTTTTTGTGGTTGTAAATGGAACTTTCCATTTTCTCCCCATTTTTTGCAGGGTAGGTACACGGCAGGGGAGCGAAGGGACAGTGAAAGAAAAAGAGAGCTGAAAAGCAATTTCAACACATCTGCCACTGCTGATTTGAATTATTATTGTGAATGCTCTGATTATTCAGTATGCAAAAGAATAATGTTTAATTCAGTTCTGTTTATAACAGCTAGCACAGAGGCGTGGTCCCATGTGCTGCAAGCGAATTTGCAAATCCTGCAAGTGTGAGAAAAAGGGGCATCCATTTTTTCACTAAACCTGTTGTAACCTTTTGAATTAAAATAAAATGCTTTTATGTGTTTTTCATTGCCTTGTATGCATATGTATTTTGAACTTATTGTAGGGTCTAATTGTTAGCTGCCTGTTCTAGGTTTTTATGGCTCATGTTGATCACTCACTCATTCACAAATAAATATTTTTGTGTTTATAACCACCAGTGGTTATAACCATTGGACTGCACATTAGCAAGGTCTGTTTGCATTGATTAATTGCAGTCTACCCATTGATCCTTAAAAGGGGAGATCACACTATCCCTGGATCTTTTTAATGTTCTTCTCACCCTCCACAGCTAGGTTTCTGCCTACACTGTGAACAAATAGACTGCAAATAGAATAAATGATCAGGACTTAACAATTTCGAGCCAATTTGCAGAAGATAGCAAAAATGTCCTGTTATTTCAGTGAGGCCTACATGAGAAATGTCACTGTATTAGTAGTATTTTCTGCACAATGTTTCCAGAAAAAACAAAACAGACAGCACTAAAATGCACCAACACAAGTCAGAATTTAAATATTTAGATTTTTATTAGAGTATTTCGAGATGTTTCGTTAACCAAACAAACAAACAAAAAAAAATGTAATGAACCAAATTTTAAGCTTTGAATTGAATCAACAGAAATTTAAGGACCCATCTTTTTTTTCAAAATAAATTAAAACTATAAGAATCTAATATATCAAATGCAGACATGCTGTGTTGGTCGACATCGTAACATTTCAGTTAGATTACAGCCTCCCGACCTGCTGGGTGCTTCAGGAAATGACCCTTTCAAAATAATAAGGCTTACAGATGTCCAGATTTACTGATGACTGTGCGAATGTTTCTGTATTCAGCTTCCATTGGTTTCCTGGTGTATATTTAACACCAATTTTAAATCCAGAGGAGGGAACTTCTACATAAGTTATATATACATGAGTTATATGAAATGAACAATTACAAAACAAAAAACAGGAGAAAATCAGAAGGCAAAACTTTTATTTGCGGGCCACTAAACCAAATCAAACCAAACCCTCGAGGGGGTGAAGATGGGAACTTTCCGCCTGGCTCCTACTGGCCGGAGGGCAAGATGCAGCAAACAGGAAGTAGAAAAACAGGAAACACATCTGGGAGCTACATGAACATGTCATCATAGCCAGGTGGGGGCATGTGGTCTGGGTCCGGCCTAAAAAACACAGACACATTGCACGGTCATCATATTTTCACTTTCATTCACACAACATTCAGGTAGCAGCTTCTCATCTTAATATTAAGCTCTTATCACCACTTTCACCTGTGAAAAATGACAAACGTCACCGGCTGCAGGTCATATTAGTTTTCACTAACTTGATGTCAGGCCAAAATTAAAATTTGCCGTGGTTTGTCTGCTCTCTGCATGCAAGGATTGTTTCCAGTTCATTCCCATCATATCAATAACTTCAGATGATCAACTGTCTAGTTTTGAACCAGGACCTTCAGTATTTTGATGAAGACGCTTGTGAATAAATAAGGTGTGTCAGATTTAGAAGGCTGCACGTTTTATTTCAATGTGTCCGATACATATTTAAGCAATAATTAGGTAAATATATGTATTGTATTACTCTGAGATACTCAATATCATTAGATATATGATTGGGACATCCACCATACATAAGAGTAACAATATTACGTAACTAATAATTATTGATTTATCTGTTCTTCAGTTTTAATGCTTAATCTAAATTAACTTCTTAGTCTAAAAAAGAACAACTTAGATTAGATCAGATTAATCAAAAATCCAGTCAAAGTCCTCGTTGTTTGCAAAAATACAGTCTAAAGTTTAACCAAATCTAAAATGAGTCTTCAGTGGTCTGAGTTTGTCAAATTATGTGGCTATCTTCCAAATTTACTACACCTGCAAACTTCAGTGGGATGAAAAAAAATGTGATTTGTAATCATACAGTGTGGGCTGCAATGCAGTGCAAAGCAAATCAATCCTGTCCCATAAAAGATTAATGGTGCCAAAGTTAACTCAGTTTGCTGAGCCAAAAAGATAACAGCAAATGGATCACATGTATCACAAACATGGAGGTCAACCAGGATACAGGTGTATCTGTGATCACAACTTTGAGAGAAACCCATCTGTCTAACTCAGTCTGCTGAAGATTCATATCAGCTAAACTCCAATCAATCAATCAATTTCTTTTTGTGTAAAATCAGAATGCAACATGGTCTCAAAACACAAAAAATACATAGGACAAACATACAGCAATGAAATACAAATAATTCAAATAACTAGTTAAATAAAACAAACAGTCACATTAAAACATCAGTTAAAAGGATGTTTGAATAAAAAAAGAAAAAAAAAAAGGTAAAATAAAAATACCCACATTGAAGCACCAGTACTAAAAAAGATGATTTGTCAGTAAGGTGATGGCCCTGACTGAGTGTTAGGGTACTTTTAATGGAGTGACCAGAGGTAAGTCTTTGGTCTTGATTTAAACATTTCTACACACATTTTTACACAGAAAGAGAACTGTTTTTGTCCTGCATCACCTAACACTGGAATCAAGTTAGGAAGGGATCGCTTTGCTGCAGAGAAACAACTACAGCAACAAAAACTCACAAGTGGGCACGAGAGCATCAAGCAAGATAGACTTATCCTTTAGGACAGACAGAGGTGTGTGTGTGTGTGTGTGTGTGTGTGTGTGTGTGTGTGTGTGTGTGTGTGTGTGTGTGTGTGTGTGTGTGTGTGTGTGTGTGTGTGTGTGTGTGTGTGTGTGTGTGTGTGTGTGTGTGTGTGTCTCACCCTGGTCTGCGTTGTCCGATTGGTCCGAACGGGTCGAAGCGAGCCCCCGGGGGAACAGCTCCTGGAGGCAGAATGTCTGGTATGCCGCTGGATGGGTCAAAACCAGAGCGAGGATACCCCGACCTCAACGGGTCCACTATCATCCCGCCGCCACCTCGAGTCCTGAGGGGGCGAGAGAGAAGAGTGAAGGAAAGGGAGGATGAATGAGGAGGACGTGTGTTTAATTTTTCACACATTTTCTCTTAATTTCACATTTTCTCTTAATTTCAGTTTTATAGGTGATTTATTATTTGGCATGACACTGATGTTCCTCAAAAGTTCAAACCAGTAAAACATCAGTGAGCGATGTCATGTTTTATTTGATGAAAGGAGGAGGTTTTAAAAATTGATTTCATCAGTGCTATTACACAGCAAGTAGTATGTTCCAGGATTATAATGGATGACGTGGGGGCTAAAAAACCACCTGATGCCACCAAAAGCCATGTATGTGATCAATTTAAAATATAAGTTGGTAATTTACTTTTACAAGAAAAATAAGGTGTTTTTCTATTTGAAAATGTACTTTGTGATAAGCTGAATAAATTGCAGTAACAGAGTACAGGACACTTAAATAGTGAAGCTTTGTTGAAGGCCAATTAAAAAGCTCAAGCTGATGTATAATTAATGTTAGGACTAAACACAGACTCGGGGTGTGCTGCTCGATTGCTCTGGTATTGTCTCTACAGAGTGCATCCGGAAGCTCTGATATCTGTGGTCAGAGCTTCACATTTAGCTGGTAGAGTAACCCTCTGCTGTGTGTGTGCTCATGCGTACACTGACTGTCCATCCCCAAAACCCAGATTAGAACAAAACCACACACTGTTGCTTGAATATATATCTAACTGACATTTGTAGGATTTGTTATAAGTGAGAGAGACAGACTTACCCAAAGGGATCCAGATCTGCTCCTCCAGCTGCAAACGGAGGAATCATGGGACCGGGCCTGAAAAACACACACACACGTAAACTTTAAAACTAAAGATCTCTAAAGCACCCAAACCAACTTTTGTCAGTGTTTCCCACAGGATTTTAAGAGACTATGGTGGGTGGGCTTTGAACCCTCTGTACATTTGAAAGTTAAATGGATTCATTTGGTGCAAAAATTAAGAGGCTATCTATGAAGAACTTGGTACGCTTGTAAACAATGTTGTGATAATAAACTATTTGATCATAAACCCATTGTATAACTATAAATGGTGATGAAACAGCAACAAAAGTTAAATTTATTTCATGTTTTCCCAAAAACCCTAAATCAAAGAATAGAAGATAGAATAAGTTTTTTTTTTTACTTTTATTGGACACATGTAATATGTTTTATACTTTCTGTGAATATAATCCAATTAATCTCATTTCCATGCTGTATAGAAACCTTATTTTGAAAACCAGGCGTTGTGTGTGTCCTCGCGCTACATTCATTAAGTCCAACCAGAGTCCAAACTTGATAAATAATGTTGCATGTGGTTCTCGTATCGCGTAACATGAAGACTTCACAGCCTTCTCTTCAGGTAGGACTCTCATTCTGCAACACTTGTCTTTGTAAAGAGAGAAACTGACAGGATAAAGTCGCTAACCTGCCTGTCAGCTCGCACTGGTCCGTTTCAGTGGACTTACCATGAAGGCTTTAATACATGTGCACTCCAAATGTAGGCGTGGCTAGCTTAATCGCCTTCTCACAAACGAGTGACAGAAACAGGCCGTTATTGTTACCGTAGTTACCTCAAAAGAAAAGGGGTTGTCTCGAGTCGAAGGTCAAAGTGTCTGAGCATGCGAGCTTACAGTAGCCCACAAAACACAATGTTAGAGGTCTGTAATATATCACGAGATGTGTAAAAATATTTTCCGGTTCATTTTGAAACTATGGCGGAGCAAATTAGACTGTGGCGGGCCGCCGTGGTCTCGTTAATTAATGGGAAACACTGTCTGTGTATAGAGCTGACATCAAAATCAGTGCAGAAAAAGTCGATAACAGAAATTCAAGACTCATTTAAGTTATTTATAAAGCAAAAGCTCTACTGCCGTTTTCAGTTTCTCAAATTTGAATATATGCTGCTTTTCATATCATTGCAAACTGAATATCTGTAGTTTAGGATCGATGATCAGACCAAAGTTAAAGACTCTGAAGAGGCTCTGGGAAAATTTAACAAGCATTTTTCTCTGTTTTATGCCATTTTCAAGAACAATAAGGTAATATGGGGACGCTGAGGAGTCTTAGTAATCAGCAGATTTTTAAACAAATTAAAATTCTGCAGCTTCTTTGCTTAAACAAGAATCCAGTGTGACAAGAGGACAAAAAACAATGGATGATTTGAAGATGATTTCTGACTTTAAGATGTTTCTCAAAATTCAACTGGGAACCAAAAATTACCCAGAGAGACAGAAATTACAGGATGCATGTGTCGAAAGGAAACTGTAATCTTTTAAAGATTGTGAGGTGTGGAAATACACAGAAAACGTCGAGCATGCACATCAAGGATTCAAAAAGAGTAAGGTTGAAAGAAAAACATTTAAAGCTCTGTAAAATAGAAAGTGGAAGGGAGAGATGCTCCTAAAGGGTTGGTATTGGAGGGCTTTATTTCACTATCTTAACGAAACCGGTCTGATTTTCAGTTTTAAACCATGATGTTACACATCTCAGGACAGCACGGGGGGACGTGCACCTTTCACGCAGGATTGTGATCAATGGATGAAAGGTTAATCACTAATGAAGACAGTCGTTAGTGGCGGCCCCTCCCATCATCCATCTTACACACTTTTCTGAAGCGGTGACCCAAAATCCACACACAGATCCCAAAAGTTTACTTTATTATAAACCTAATCCTAAACCTTGACATTATACATCACTTATAATCCCACTTTATAATCTCATTGGTAAATATAAATATTCAAAGTGAATCACAGGCTTGAGTTTGCTTTCTGACGGACACAAAGATCTTCTGTGTGTTTTTTGAATCATCCATCCAAACTTCAGGTGTTCTGGATCAGCCCCGTCAGCTCCGTCTCTCCATCTTTTCTATGCTGACCTTTTCTCTCCCTCTCCACCTCCTCCTCCCCTCTCTCGCACTTTCTGCAGCTCTGACTCAGCTTTTGCTTTCTCATTCTTCATTCCTCTCTCCTTCTTTCTCCCCTTACGTGGGGTGAGGGTGGGGGTGGGGTGGGGGGCAGTGACTGAATCTCACACTCACACACAACTCAAGCTCTGTCCTGATTCGCTCTCTGCGGTTGCAGTCGACAAACAGCTCCTTTGTCTAGACTTTCTACACGGCACAAGCTCAGCACATCCAGGGGTGTGTGTTTGTGTCTGTAACTGCATGAGTGTGAGAGGGTTGTGTGTGTGGTTTACACACAGGAACCCATTTTAAAGTTGCATCATTTGTATGTTTGTTATGTCCTTGTCACACGCGTACGACGGAGTAATAGGGCCACTGGGGCAAAGTATCTGATTATGAAAACAGTTGCAGATAAATTTTCTGTCGCTTGGTGAAACTAATCGTTTCAACTCTTGCAAAATAACTCTCTCTAAGCCACAGTCTAAACTTTTCAGAAGGGTGAACTAGACTTTTCTAGATCAATGAGAATATAATGACAGTTTAGCTCAATAATGCACACAGAAGTTTGAAACCAATAGATCAATGTCATAAAAGTGCATAAACCAGGAGATTTTTATCCTGAAAAAAACAACAAAAAAAAAACAGTTTTTGATACTGTAATGAAGACTTAATAAACTGTTTGTCACTATAAATTTCTCAATGTAATGGAGACTACCTGAGGCCTCGGATTTATCCTAGAAGATTGAAAAGCTTCTAAAGAAAAAAACAAAAAAACATTTACCTGACACAAACATGACCTGGTTCCCACAACTATTCTACACTTTAGTTTCCAAGAAGCTGATGGAGGAGTTAACAGGCAAACCAATTAGGACAGTAAGAAGTTTAAATGCTGCTTGGTGGATGGTATGCAACAAATATTTCAGTGTATGTGACCCTGAAAATGCCTAAATCCAGACAAGCTTTAGTTCTCTCATTTATTATCTTTTATTTGTACCTCTGATAAATTCAAATGAGAAAACATTTAGTTTTTCTAAAATTTAAGAATATTGACCACATTTTGGACAAAATACATCTATATTATACCTGTTGTTACTTTTAGACGATATTTAAGCAGATATTTACAAAAGAATACTTTCTGTGTAAGGGAAAGTTGGAAGAGTAAGATTGTTGGCATTTAAACCGAGACAGACAGTTTCCTGTCATTACCAACCAGTGTGGCTGAGTTCCCTGGCGAGGATGTCTGTGTGGGATACCGAGGGGGTCGCTGTCCTCTCGTCTTCGTCTTCGCTCCTCCTCCTCCTCACTCCGACTCCTCCTCTCTGCCGTCTGTCCCTTCGGTCTGTCCAGGGAGGGCAGCAGCTGAGTCTTCACCTTCTCTGACAAACTGTCTCCGTCTTTGAACACACTGCAAAAGAAAAGCTTAACTTTATTCATCAAAATAAAGTTCTTCTTTTTCTGCCTTGTTTTGTACAGTTTAACACTTTCTGATAGTTGGTAACGGAGCGTCCTGTTGTGGAAAACATTAAACTACAAGCATCAACCAGAAGAAAACAAAAGCATATTTTCTGATGTGTTAATAGATACAGTAACTATGTCTTATTTTGTTTTTTTAGGGGGTAGGAAATCCAAAAATAGGTGAACAATCCTGGATGGTGTCTAACTGTCGCACAACTCTTTATAATCAGTTTTTAAATTGTCACCACAACAAGTATAAAGTCATGAGTTTGTGTCTCTTTCAGCTGTAGATTTCTCCGCCTGTTCAATTGTACTTTTTTTTTTTACCCTATTATGTGTGAGTGCAGAAAAGAACAAGTGGGTTGTCACTCTTTAAAGCCAGTGGGAACAGATTGAGAATATCTGTTTTATTTTGGCACCACCCAGTGGTCGTCCGAACAAGACTCAGAGAAACGCTAGAAGCTCTGTGAGTTTAGCCTGTTAGCATACTAACAATTGCTAATCAGCACAAAATACAAAGTATAGCTGAGGCTGATGGGAACGTCATTAGTTAGAGGGTCACCAAAGTTTTAACAATGCATCCTTAGGGGAACATAAATATCTGGACCAACTTTCCATTCCAATAATTCAGTTATGGTTTACCTAAAAAATAAAAATGTCAGTGTGCCAGATCCCAGCTCTTCACCACCAGCGAACAAATGCTGGTACTTTTCACCATGGCCAATAAAATCAGCACCCAAACCACAATGAAAAAAAACAAAGAGTCACCTGTCAAATGTGCGCAACTGGCCAGCATCCACATGATCGCTGATGTTCACCGTCAAGTCTGTCACCTGCTGTGAGCTGGAGTTCTTCACACACAAACATGTCATGCATTTAAAAAAAAAAAGAGACAGAAACAGACACACAATCACAGAAACACACCAGCAAAAGATCAATATGTGTTATAGATTTGTTTCTCAAAATAAAGCAGAACCAAAACACACAGGCTTTTAATGAAAGCTTGGCAGGGTAACACGTAAAGGAGACTGAAACAGAAAACAGCTAGGATGATTTACAGTATTATACATTAGACTGCTGAGCCACAAATTTCCACTGACATCTGACCGCAACATATCAGGTCACTGATAACTGAACAGATGATGAATATTAGAGACCATCTTAACATCTGAAAACCTTTTTTCCCCTGAGCTCCAGTGGAAGTTCTCACCTTGCTACAGTGATGTAGAGGTATGCTGCTGCTGCATTCCAGGCAACTGGGAATTTCCGACCTCCAACTAGAAAAAGGTACCTTGAAACGCCACTTGAAGTCGAAGTCGAGGAAAACTATGTACTCTGACTTCCTCCGATGGAAGCACACATTGTAAATGATAAACCACAAACTAAAAGGCAACATAATGTATATTTGCCTGTAATATATATTGTAAATTAACATAGAAATATGTTCCCAATGTTATTATAGGTACACCAAGGACACTGCCGTGGGTTCAGTTGTGTGCGCACATGTTTTTGTTCAATTTTTGGTGTGAATCATCATGCACCTGGAACGCTTTGAGGTCAAAAATTTCAGCTGGGAAATATACGAATTCCCAGTAGTCTGGAACGCAGAATACGTATACTGTGACAACACTGTTGGGTTTAGTCAGAAGTGCAACCACAAAGGGTCAAACACACAAATGATACAGGTATTTACATTTGAGTATAAGTAGAGTAACATGTCTGGGGAAACGTTAGATTTAAGTAACATATAAAATCAGGAAATGAATAACTCCCAACAAAGAAATTTCAGAAGTGAGCTGAGAAAAAAAAAAAGACCAAATCAAGAATAATGTTGAACCACAAGAAACACAGTAACGGTTTTGTGGTCGTATTACTTTTCACATTTGCCTCCTGATAATTGACTTTTTGATGAACCCAACTGGAGCACAGATTCTACTCCAAAAGTACGTAAAGCAAGCACGTCAACCTATTTGGCTTTCAAAGTATATCAATGAGTTCACATTAGGCATATTATCATATACGTTTGTCAGCTTTGCCTACCATCAGGTTGAAGATCAAAGTGGAGTCGACAGCAATGGCTTTAAGCAGCAACTGGGTTTCACTGTCCATGGGTTTATATCTCAGACTGTACAGCTCCTTGTTGCTGCTCCAGTCAGCAGGCAGCAGCTCTGACTTCTTATCAGTGCTGCGAGGCTGGAGGTGAGAGAGAGGGAGGGAGGTGGAGAAAGACACATTAAGAGTGCATAACTTAAAACCAATGTGGTGTTTTAGTTTAAGTGACACAACACCAATTTAACTAGCTAGCTACAGATGACATGACAGTTTTCAGAGCTCGTCATAATATCTCTCTTTTAAAACAACAGCAGTTTGTTTCAGCATAAAAACACGACAACTCGTTAAAACACAACTTCAATATGTTTGCCTAATTGTTATAGTTACGGTTATTAGATATAAAGTCAGCTAACTTACACACAGTAAGTAACCCTCATTTAGGAAGCTAACGCTAATATAAACTGAGGCAGGCGGCAAATTAGCGAGGACAGAATTCCATGGGAAAAAACTGACATTTTAGGTTCTTCTTAAAAAGCACACCGGATAACCTTGATAAAAAACAGACCAAATGTATTATTCTGAACATTTAAGAGCCATTCTTCAATTCGGTGTATAACTAATTCACAAAGCCGCAGGTATTTTGCTGAATATCTAGTTCATCTTATGTAAATCCTTTGACCTCCATCATATGAATTAATATCACAAGTTACAGCGAGCAGTGAAAACGTTTGTCAACGTTGTTAGAATTAATTAACAAATCAGCAATAATCAAATCCCGCCCCCAAAGAAATAACTACTGCGATGATGGCTAACGATCTTCGTAGCGTTAAAACGACAGATTTCTGAACAGAGTTTGGTGTAACTGTTAGCTATCGTTTCTGCAAGACATCCCGTGAGATAACACTTAAAAAGCTGTTAGCGTTAACACGTCAGATTGTTTTAGCTAACGTTAGCTCATTTAACTTTACCTCATCTCCAGACCCGATGCACCTGTATCCACTCTTTATCATTTCCCAGTGAACGAAACACACAAGGGCGTCCTGAGGACAGCTGATACTGCCACTTGCACAGGCATACAACACCTCCAAGCCTGCCATGTTTATTTAATCTAATGACTCCAACAACATGAATCCAGTTTGTTTCAGGTGAAGAAATGAAAACGAAAGTCTCGACTGCTGCAGAAGCGCTCCCAGCAACAAGGACCACTTCCGGCATGCGTTTCAAAGTAAAAGCACCAGTAAATGGAAAAAAAAAATACCTGCCATCAACTAACAACTTTCTTGCAAACAAATCTAAAGCTAAAAAAAACATCGACTTTTAAAACATGAAATACGAACAACAGGAATCAAATACATTTAAATAATATTTTTTATTATTTCCCAAGTCCAGCAGCGCACAGAATAAATAACAATTTTAAGATAAACCCTTTAATAAAATAATTTAAATTTTAATATATATTTTTTAAATACGCTGTATGCTATAGATCTCTAAGCTCCATTGTATCTTTATATTGCTCCTAAATGTGTCAGTTGCTGAAATAAATAAGATAATTTTATTTTAATAAAATGAAAATATTGTTAGCGGATGTTGTGTCTAGCTTTACAGAGCTTTGTTGTTTTGATCCAACATATAAGGAGTCCCGAGGTGAAATCATGCTCGGGATTGTATCGTTCCGTTTTGTAAACACTGCAGTGGCTTTCTGATAAAGATTTGTTTCTGTCTACTGACAGTAAGAGGAGGTTTCAAGTGTAAAAGAAGTCATCAACTAACAACAAAAAGTTGGAAATACATAGTTAGTGTTAATAGGCAACTCAGAAACTGAGTTTTTATAAAAACAATAATATACACCATGTTAATGAAGCCTTGCGGGAATAAAATAATCGTCACTTTAATTTTACATACATTGTATATTTATTTATTTTAGTGCGATCCCGTTTGGGGATCTTTTTTTCTCTCCCTTATATCTTCATTGCAAAAAAAGGAATAAAGTGTACATGGGACCGAGAGTGGTATACAGAACAGTATATAAATATATAAACAAATAATAATAACTTTGCTAGTGGTAGTCCTTATTATATGTTGAAAAAGAGCCATATGTTGACAGTTTTTACAGCCTTTTTGTTGTTGGATTTTGACATTTAAATTGTTATAATGTACAACCTCATGGACAATACAAAGCATTATACAATTATTATAAAATACTTGCCTTTTTGTTGACTTTTATAAAAGCAAAATATCACATTCTCCCCACAATAATGCAAAATCTCCTTAAATATGGTCAATGATGAATCTGCTGATGTTTTGCCAGAATTTTCACCGTTTGGGGATCCTTTTTATTTATTTATTGACAACAACAAATGTACAGATACAGCAGACATATGCTCAGCATGATAGTGTACAGATGAATTAGCCAACAGAAAGCTGTAGAGTAAACAGCATATAACATATAACAAAGCATAAAGCAAATGAAACCAGCAAACAAAAATATTATTGTTTTTTACAGTTTGATAGTTCTGTTAGATTTTTAATAGTCACTTAGTTTAAGGGTTTTATGGGCACTTATGTGTGGAATTTGTCAAAGATTTGGAGCAATATAAATTTGTTGGGTAAATTTTTAATGTGCAATTCCTTAACCTTATCTTATTTTTTTAAACTGCGGCCATGCTTTGTGTTGTCATCCCGGACAAATTTACCGATTCCCAACACCAATTGTAGATCTAAACATACAGCTGGAATTGAAGGATATGTCAAAGAAACTTCCAGAATGCAGCATAGTACAGAATTACTTTGATTTACATTTTTCAGACTCCATGTTTATATTCACAGATGGCTCCAAAGATCCTGATACAGGGCGTGCAGGTGCAGCAGTCTTTATCCCAGCAAGTGAGTCATATATCAAGAAAAGAATATCAGATCATGTCTCAGTGTATACCACAGAGTTGACTGCAATATTACTGGCCCTGCAGTGGATCGAAGAGAGGGAAACAAATAATACTGTTATTGCATCTTGTCTGCTCTAATGAGTATTAAATCTGGCAAATCATCATTTGGAGATACTATTTTCTCAATGACATATTCCTTATATTGTACAGGATGGAGCTAAAAGGATTATCCACATGCTTCCTTTGGGTTCCTGCTCATGTTGGTGTGGAGGGAAATGAGCAGGTGGATATTCTGGCCAAAGGAACACTCAAAATCAAACATGTAGACCTAAAAACCCCATTAACTAAAGATGAAGCTAAGACATTTATCAGGACCTATGCACAGTCAGTTTGGCAGGAGCATTGGGACAATAGTGAAACTGGAAGGCACCTATATAATGTCCAGAGACAGGTTGGTGCCGGAAGGATGGTGGGCTGGAAACGTAGGGAAGAAAATATAATCACTCGTCTGAGAATAGGACATACAGGTCTCAACCTTTCATTATATGAAATAGGTAAGCACCCAACTGGGAAATGTATATATTGTAACCAACTAGAAACGGTTGAACATGTTCAGTGTAAGAGATACACTATCAAGAGGAAACGCCTCTTTCAGTCATTACGGAAGGCAAAACATCATGATATCTCATTGACAGGTCTCTTGGGGAAAACAGCAGGCCAGATATATTATCATATAATTAAGTTTCTTAAAGAAACTGAGTTAGAAAAAAGAATTTAATTTATGTTTGTTTTTTTGTTTTGTTTTTGTTTTGTTTTTGTTTTTTTCATTTATTTCTTGCTTAATCTCTCGTTCCACACTCCAGTCCAGCTCCATTAAACCCTAAAAGAAGAAGAAGAAGAAGAAGAAGAAGAAGAAGAAGAAAGACAAATTTACCGTTTCCGTTGCAACAAAAGACGTCATTTCCCATCGTGCACCTCGCAGGGCGGACAGTGCTTCCTTGTCAAGATGGCGGCTCCCTTGACACTACTTTTAATTTTATCCGTTACTATCCGTGCAGCTCTTTACAGATCCAGCTTGGCGGACTTAATTGCGGAGCGAGTGGAGGTCGTGTCTCCGCTAACCGCCTGGAAAAGAGGTAAGCGAGGGTTTTAGCAGCTTTTTGGGGGGCCACATTTGTCCCTTAAACGCCGCTCCGGTTGCTTCCTCACTTCGGCGCTGTTCCCCGGTAATCGAGTTAACGTCAAACCGGTTTTATCTACAAAGAGCACGTCTTTTCGGTTCACATGTAGAAAGATCACTAACGCCACACGAAGGGGGAACGTTAGTGAAATGTATCGCTGAAGACCTAAATGTGTTTTGACTCGTATTTCCTTGTTATTTGTGATGGAGCTTCTTCATTGTGTTTGGCTCCTCTGGTGCAGCAACCAGCAAGAGGCTGAGATGAGAGGGAGTACATGCCTCAAGTACTTATACTACCCTCGAGTACTTACAGTTTGAGAGGGTTTATGCTGTCCCTACTGCATACTTATACTGCCTATATTAATCCAGCTCTAATGAAACTATTTTACATTTTACTGAGCTGCTGTCAAATGTTGAACACAATACCTTTTTCTTTTGATTATTTTTCCCTACTAGTTGTAGTTTAACCAACAGAAATTTTATATTTAAAAAGAAGAAGAAATAAAGAGGACACAGAGTAGAAAATAAAGTTAACTTTAACTAGAAAATAAAAAGGGGGGGAGGGGGGGGGGCATTGGTTGTCTTTCTAGGTTCCACACAAAACATTAATAACCAATACAGCAATTAAACATCCTACCACATCAAATTAACAAGAAAATATAGAACAAATACAACATAAGTGAAATGTTTTGGGGTATTAATGGGTTGTTGACAATTAAAACAAACTGCCTGTGGTCATAAAGATAATTAAGAGACAATCTGATGTTTTCTGTCAGTCTTAGCTGAGAGTTGGTTGATAATCAGTAAATATATCTATTGATCTAATAATGGTGATAGCTCAGACAAACAGAGGTGCAGAGAGGGGAGTGCTGGAGTCGCCACACGAGCAGCAGTTATGGCTGAACTGGGAAGAAGTGATAGTTGAGATTTGTTTTGGCATCAGGTGCTGTGAGTTTTTCTCTAGTAGTGATTAGAGATGCATGGACACGAGGTCAGTCTGTGTAAGAAGGTGACAAAGCAAACAGCAGCTTGTCGGACTGGATGAGCAGCAGCAAAGATGAATAAAATAAAAAGCTTTAAGCTTCCACATAATTCACCTTTTATTCACCTTTCTCTCCAATACTCGATAAACCTCTGTAAACGTCTTATCATAAAATTAACAATACAGATTTTTAGATAATTGTCCAGTTCTTTGAGAGAAATGTTCTTTAATTTCTGTATATAACAATAACATATGAAGCCTTTTCAGCTGCCCCATTTTTGAAGTGAAGGTGCGGCTGTTTGTTAAACCACACTGAGGTTTTTGTATGAAGGCATACACTGTCACACACACACACACAGACAACATAGTACATGAGGTAGAGAATGTGTGAATTACACAGAAACACAACAGCCCTTCATGAATTGTTCATTAGGGCAGCTGTAACAGGAAGTTGCATCTCTGCAGCTGATTGCAGTAAGAGAAGGGAAACAGCATGCGGGATAATAACTGTCTTTCTGTGACATGGTGTTTATTTGTTTGTTTGCAGTTGTTGAAGGTTTGGCTCTTCTTGACTTGGGAGTCTCACCGTACTCTGGAGATGTTTTCCATGAGGTGAGGTGAAAACGCATACAAACACGTGACGTGTATGACCAGCGGCTCAATTTCCTCTTAAAATCAATTTCTTCTTATCCCCGTCTTTTATTTTGTCAGGTTGATTTCCGTTCTGAAACTTATCTAAACAGTCCAGATGAGACGAGAGGGGAGTTAATAATAAAAATGTTGTTGGAGTCGCCTTCAATTGTTACCTTGTACTTAAAGCTGGAGCAACGAGCAAAAGACGGCTAGATTATGAAAGTATCCAGCTGGCAAAAAACCCCATCCCCTCCCTCCAAACCGCTCCCGGAAAACAAATTTTCATGACAGCCACAGATTCTGGTTTTTCTAAAACTGTTTGTGTCAGAGCATCTAATTCATTGATTGCTGCTGAGATGTAAAGACAAATTCTATAATATTTAAAAACATGCTTCTGAAATAAACTGCCTACCTCAGCTTTAATGAGCTTCAGCACTGAGTGTTGCCCCGTTGTGTTTTTTTTTATTTTTTTTTTCAGCCCTGGGTTTCACCTCTTAAAAGGTGCCTTTCAGACATTATTCAGGGTACTGAAAATACTATCACTGCATGTTTTTTGGATAAAAGTAAAATATATCAGTTTATATTCTTCTAGAAAGACGTCAGCCACAAATAAGGCAGTAAATTAAAGGTTCTTGGGGTAAAGATGCAAATACAACATTATCTATAATCTCGGTGAAGGAAACTAAACACTTAAAGTAGAGTTAGAGCATTAACAATACATCATGTTCACATAACTTCTTTTTTACTTTTTGTTATGCAAATATTATGCACAAACATGCAGATTTCAGACAGACAAACCCACTGTGCATCTGAGAACAAACATTTAAAGCCAGTGGCCGAGATGCTTGTTGCTTTTCTGTTGCGGTTGGTTGTTTGTAAGTCAAACAGAGGTAGTGCAATATCAAACAGCAGAGACGAGGATCTAAAAATGGTGTATACATGTGAATATACATGAAATGTGTATGAGCACACACAGGTACCACAAAAACACACTAATGTCTAGATAAATACGTTTTATTGTTCCAGCTGCATGCGTGTGTTCTGTGCTCTGATGTCCTTTTCTTTTTCCCTTCAGACTCCTCTCATCATTTACCTCTTTCACTTTGTGGTGGACTATGCAGAGATAACATTCATGGTGAGTAGAAAGACAAGAAACATCTATTTTGTCCTTTTTTTTTATTGGCAGTTTCATGCATTTATAAGCCAACAAACCTTTCTCTTAAACTGGAATTAAAGGACATGACAGCAGAATGAGATGGTAGTGCTTCGGATTTGCTCTGGTGCATATAACAGAGGATTTTCTGTAATGTGAGCCATGATGGGAAAGCTGCGCTCCCTCTGATAAGAAATGTCTGCCTCTAGTGATTTGAAAAGAAAATATATGGGTATTTTTGTTTGTTTATTTTGTTATATTTCAGCGGATCAGCTGCTCACTCTTTCTTTCTGTCTCGTTAGCTGGCAGATGTGATCACTGCTGTGGCTCTCTACATGGCTGTGAAGGACTACAACAAACAAGTGGTAAGAAAACAGCACTGTGTCTTCCCAAATACAGAAAAAAAAGAAATTCAAAAGAAAATATGTTGATATTTAAGGAAAATTAGGTATTTTTTAACCAGATACATCGGTTTCAAAGAAACCAGAATTTCCCTTAGGTAGGGTTGGGCCAAAACTGATTTATTGTCCCGAGTAGATGGATGATGTATTTATTATTATTATTGATTTCAAACATATCATAAGCCCTACCTATCTAACAAGAAATGTGTTACAACTCTCTATCTATCTATCTATCTATCTTTTTTTCTTGTTTCATTAATACATAGCCAGGTTATGATTGCTAAATTATATTATAGATAAGACATGTTAGTAAATTAAACTGATATTTTGTGTGTTATGTGGTGTTTTGTGTTTTCCTGTCCTTGTCGTAACATGACGTTAGTGACATTTGATGTGCTGTGGATGCTGTTTCAGTTCAGAAAGCAGAAATTTGCCTTGGAGGCAGACCGCTACCCCCTCGACTGTCTGGAGCTCATCAGAAGCCCCAAAGAAATGTACTACATCCCTCTGAAAGTTGCCATGTTGTAAGTGCCACACACCCACCAAGCATGTTTCACACAGCACTCTAATTGTACCAGGTTATCAGATATCACTTTTATATCAATTCTTGCTACGACTTGACGAGAGACGTGTCAGACTACTCGTTCAACCCTGACCGGTCAGCCAGGATGGTTTAGAGACAGACCTCCGAGATCAGAAATGTTACCAACCAAGGTGTCGCCCAAAACCATGTAGACGTTCAAATTTTCATGTCAGGTCATGTTAGTCTTTCTGCCGGGTCCTCGTTAGCCGTTCGGGATTGAAATGGATGTAATGACAAATTGTCGTGCCTGACATCTGTCAGATTGGATGAAAGATGAAACCTAATGACTTTAACGAACCTCTGACTTTTCCTTTAGCGCCACCAGCTGTTTAAAATAAAGAATTTAATTCAGTAGTTTTGTTTTTGACCAAATTTCTGCAGAACTAATAACATTCCTCAGCTGTACTTTGTGGTAACTGCTGATTAGTAAACATTATACATACCTGCTAAACATCAGCAGGTTCACTGTCAACATGCTACCTCTGTGTCTGGTCTTGTGTTCATAAGCTTGTGTCTTTGTTATTACGTAATATAAATATGAAACAAAGGCTGGTTAATGGTGGTGATTGAAAACTAAAAAGGTCATGAAGGAAATACCACAGTCTTCTAAAAAGTAGCTTCTTATAAAATCACTTAGTGGCCAATAGTATCTGAAGTATTCAGGGAGTTTTATTGTCACATCTCTTTTATTGTCTCTTCTTCTCTCACAGTTACCTGTTGAACCCGTTCACCATCCTGTCCTGCGTCGCCAAGTCAACCTGTGGTCTGAACAACACCGTCATCGCCCTCTTCATTCTCACTACAATAAAAGGTAACGTTTGAAATGCGTGATGTGATTTTTTTCTGCAGACTGTAGTTTTGGATCCATAACTCCCCGAGTGACACATTTTGTTATTCGATTAAGATTCTTCATTAAGAAATGTCACCTTCAGTTTCTTCTGCTTTTTGGCTGAAGGAAAGTCTCACAGTATAATTGCTTTATCTATAAAAGGAGCATTTTGAATTGCTTTAGCTGTCTGAAATATTGAAATGCAGTTTTGAGGTATTTTGTCAACGTTCTCCTCCAGAGCAACTTAAAATTACTGCGACAATAAAAACATGAAGTATTTGATGTATTTGAGTTATTCTATGTTTGTGTTGCAGGAAATGTCTTGCTGAGCGCCATATTTCTGTCCTTGGCCACATATCAGTCCATCTATCCTCTCACTCTGTGCGCTCCAGCGCTCCTGTATTTGATGCAGGTATGTTGTGTATGAATGGACACATGCATATTAAAAAGACATTTTCTTACAGCTTGTTTCACTATTTTATTTTGCCATCTTTTTTATTACTCTCTAACCATTGTTTTTTCTGTTCCTTCTTTAATTTCCTACTTTTAGCCTTTTTCTGCCTCATCATAATGTCTTCTTCGCCCTGCCTATAGACCAGGGGTGGCCAAACTACAGTTAATTTAAAAAAATAAACTATATCATGAGCTTATTTCTTATAAATTGCACCATAAATACATTGCAGATCCTGTTTTAAATGCTAGATGTCGCTGTCATTTTGAAAAACTACTTGATCTACAATGATGGATTTGTAGTTTATGAAAACATTTACTACAGTTAATTGAACATGGCTGAACCGAAAATACGGAAGTTGCTGAAAATGTCATGATTTGGCCCCTGACTTTTCACATTATATTATTTTATATTATATGGCCCTCAGTCAAAGGCCACCCCTGCTCTAAACCCGTCTCATCATGTTTCTCTGCCTTTTTGTAAATATTTGAGTAAAGTTTCTGGTTCTCCCCCAGCGTCAGTACATCCCGGTGAACTTTCGGCGTGCCAGCTTCTGGTGGTTCATCGCGCAGTACGCCTTCATGTACCTGGGCAGCCTGTTTGTGATCATCTGTCTCTCCTTTTTCCTGCTCGGCTCGTGGGACTACGTGCCGTCTGTCTACGGCTTCATGTGAGTGATGTACTGAAAGCTTGAGCCGAGCTGAAAGGTCTCATCTAAAGTAACAGAATGTAAAGTTGGGGAATGTTTGTTTAATGCACGACTAACCTGACAGAAGCTGAGATTGAAAGTCTGTTTTGGAAGTAAACGTACATTATTAATACAATCACAGCTACATACTAGCTTGAATAGGCCTTTATAGTGGATGGCTACAGTCCTTGTATCTGCTTTTCCTCCCTCCAGTCTCTCAGTACCAGACCTGACCCCAAACATCGGCCTCTTCTGGTATTTCTTCGCCGAGATGTTTGAACACTTTCGCCTCTTCTTCCTCTGCGTCTTCCAGATCAACGTTTTCTTCTACACCATCCCTCTGTCGGTCAAACTCAAGTAAGTCCTCTGCCTTACTCGCACGCCAACTGTCCTTCCAAGTTCATGCATTTAAGAGGCTAAATTCTCTGTAACAATATGCGTCTGTGTTACAGGGAGCATCCAGTGTTTCTGATCTTCATGCAGTTGGCTGTGATCTCCATCTTTAAGTCTTACCCCACGGTGGGAGACATTGCTCTCTACCTGGCCTTCCTTCCTGTCTGGAGTCACCTACACAGATGTGAGTATAAAACGAAGACTCCCAGTACTTTTGTTTGGTTTTACTACCTGGTTTTCACTTTATGCTACCTTTTTAGCATGTAACAAGTGATGTCTTGATCAAGTTCATTTGGCTCTGATCCTCACCCGAGTCCCTTTTTAATATTGAGTCTGATCCAAAACTGACCTAAACGTCACACCTGCTACAACCTGAAAGTGACATAAAATGGAACTCAATTCATCAAGAGATGTGCCAAACATTCTCAGTATAAATAAAAATATACATCGCTGCAGCAGACAGGCAGTGTTAATTGACACATTGAAGTAACAGCTGTAGCTACTAAATGCTGATTTAAAAAAACCTCTTAAATTGATAAGTTTAAATTATTAATATGAGGTTGAATAGGGTGAAAGTGATTCCTGAAACCGACGTGATGTGAACAGCTACAGAGAAGACATCTCACTCTGTTGATGTTGGAGTTGTGGGAACAACAGAAGCACAACCACAGAATCAGTGTTATTTAGTAACAGCTGATATGATCTGCCGCCAGCAACGTTTGTCATTTGAGCCAGCGAATGTGATCGTTAAGCTCTGGGTAAAAGTGAGAAGCTGTATTATCAGTTTTTAATCCGCTTTATTTTATCTGATATCGAGCCATTAAAATACGCCTGGATCGGCCAGCTGGTCCCTCTGATCACCTCGGGACATCTCAACATGTAACATGTCAAAGTAAAGTGGAGGTTATGACTTGCTGGTGGCCGTAGATGAAATAACTGAATTTGAATAAAGTAATTTAAGTCCATGAATTTATTTATATAGCACTAATTCATGACAGAAGTTACTTCAATGTACTTTTCATATAGAGCAGGTCTAGTCCGTAGAGATCCAACATGTCCTCAAGGGACTTTGAAGGTTTGTACCAAATTTCATGGCAGCAGTTGAGATATTATCACTCTGGACCAAAGAATCTGACCAACAGACTGATATTGTAACCCAGAAAGTTTTTAAACGAGATTTTTATTATCTGTTACATTTTCTGGTTTAACAAAATAATCATACAAGAACATGCAATAAATTAAACACAAAAAAATGCTAATATTATATACTATATACTATAATATGCAAGATATTTTATTAATATGGAGCAGAGGTGTCGAGGTAGAAACAATCCCTCTGCTGGTTTCTCTTCCTGTTCAGTCTTGAGGAACATCTTCCTGGTGTCCTGCGTCCTGCTGGCCTGTTCGGCTCTGTTCCCGGTTCTCTGGCACCTCTGGATCTACGCCGGCAGCGCCAACTCCAACTTCTACTACGCCATAACGCTGCTGTTCAACGTGGCACAGGTAGGACGGTCTGAACGAGCGGCGGGGGTTGGATTTGTTCATAGGCCCTTTCCATTGGAGACATTTTAACATGTCACAGTAGGAAAAACACACAGGTGAAAATAATAAAAGTTAACGAGACTGAAATCCATTCAGCTGCTTCAGTTTCAGGGTCCTGGCGGTGTTCATGCTGTCACACTGTCATGACTTACTAGGACATACACGGAGTCATCGTAAATGTTGTTATTATTATTATTATCACCTGTGCTTTTCCTACTGTTATAAGTCAAAATATCGATCCTGAGTTGTGTCCAAATGCTGTAATCTAAAGCCCAGTGTGTCACTTTGTGTTGAAAAGTGGTGGGAATATAATATATAATATGTAAGGGCTCAGATTAGGGGCATGATGATACAGTCACGAGACAACAACAAGATACGAAGATTTTTAAATCTATTTTGAATAAATATGAAATGTTAAAATATGAGCGGGGGGGTCTTTTTGAGCAATAAATGCTTAATTTCCTGCATTCTGGAGACATTTTCTGTTCCAGTTTAGAAACACAAAATTCTTAAAAATAAAATATATAACAGAATATATAATGCAGTAATCAGCAGCTTGTTTTTTTGGCTTAAGTTACTTTTTTTTTGCCCAATGCAACCAAATTTGTTTCTTCTATATTAACATTTCATTGCATGTTTTGTTATTGTGCAAATAAGCCTTTCTCAAAGCATTCTTTTTGTTTGTTGTTAGTTTTTCGGAACAATTTTTAACAAATGCTTTCATAATGTGGTGGGGACATGTCCCCAGCGTCCCCAGTGTAAATGACAGCAATGTCTAAAGCTCCATTAAGTTACTGATGCCTTTAACTGCAACAGGCATCCTTTCGGGCCACAAAGATTATTCCTTTTTAGAATAGAGACAATGTGTATGTTATTACTTTCCTTCTCATCATTGGTCATACACACTGGTGACAAGCTGCACCTTTCAGGTTGCACCACCCACGAACGCCGCCCATTCATACAGCCCATTGATACTCTCTGTAGGTAGGTCTCCTTTTCGTTCAGCGCGGAGTCAACTCTGAGTCCGCCCAGATTATGGAAGCAGGAAGTGCTGAAAGGTTTGTGTGTCTGGGAGCGTCGGTTGACTAAAGAGGAGAGCTGAGGAGAGTAAAACATCGTCGGAGCAACACGTTTAGATAGTTGAACCAGTTATAGTAAGGCCGTTAATCCCTTCCGTGTTCAGCTACTGCAACATTCCCGTACGTCGGCACCTTCTTCATCCGCAAATCAGCAATAACCTCCAAACAACCAGCCACCGAGAGTACTAAAACCGTCGCCATCAAACCGGTCCAGAATCCATTAACAGTCAGGCAGGTCATAAGTGCTGCAAACCTTTTTTCCCCCTGCCTTTTGTTTTTTTGAGCAGTGTGTTTTTTTTATGTTGGATGAACATTTTGTTTTTTGAGGAACACAGCAACCTTTTGTTAATTGTCAGAGTGTTTTTGCTTCTGAAGACACTTAAACTGAACCGTTTTTGAACTGAACTGAACTGCTTGTTGAATTGAAATGAAATGAACCCTGAGGGGAAATTTGAGTTATGTTTATTGATATGTTAATGCGCTTTTGTTAATACACGTCGCCTTTGTTGCATTTCATAATTGAGTTGTGGTTTTCATTATTGTTCACTGGTTGCATTCAACGTGAGGGTCCATAACAGTGCATATGTACCCTTTGTGATATTTGGTGGGTAAAATATATTATTCTGCATAAAATATCTAACGTGTCAGGAGAGAAACCTTACTGGGACCCCTAAAGAAAGTCCAGCTGTCACAATACAAATAACCAAATTTAGCGTAGGTCTCAGTAGATCAACAATAGTAAAAAAGAAAAAAAGTCGTCTTATAAAGTTTATTTATTTATATAAATTATTTATGAGTGAAATGACTCGAATCTCTCTTCTTAATCACATAGCGAGGAATTCATAATTTCCTGAAATTTATTTCCCCTCAGATTCTGCTGGTGTCTGATTATTTCTACGCTTTCCTGAGGCGGGAACACCACCTCAGCTATGGACTGTACCTGAAGAGGAAAGATGGCTCCGAGGCTACGCTAGTTCTCAAATAAAACACACACACACACACACCTGCATACACACTCATGCTCACATCACCTGGCCAGCAGCCTCTACCAGGAAAGAGAAACATTATCCTCACCGGGAACAAACACAAGCTGAGGAGGATAAAAGACTTTCAGAGCCACACTGGTCCTCAGACAGAACATTAGCGCACACACGCAGGATGTGTGTCTGGTACTGCGTCATATGCCGACTGCAAGTCACAACACTCAACATGACAGACACATGCAGAGATGGGATGAACAAATCTGACTCCTGCCATGTGACACAAAATATCCTCTTTTCACATTCTCCTCTGGAGCGCTCTTCTTTTGAAGCCTCACTCGACCTGGAACCTGCGCTGGCGAGGGTGGCTTTTATTTGTTGAAGCTGTCTTCCTCCTGACAGCCACACTGGAAACATTTTGTTTTGATCCTCTGTTTGTCCTGCAGCTCCGTCCTGCACCAACCCCTCAACCAGCTTTTTTTTTTTTTCTGGAAGGAAACGTCACTCTGCGGGGGCTTTTTATTTTAAGGCCTCTTTAAACACTCAAAAAATAATAGAAATGTGAGAGAGTCTCACTGGTTTAATAGTTCCTGATAATCCAGCTCTTGCGCACACACACATTTGTTGTGTTGTTTCATGTTTACATGATTACATTTGTTTAAAAACTGGGTTCCTTTTGTGGCAAGAAAAGGAAAACTATTTTAAGAATTTTGTCTGGAAGCATAAAAATGTTTCTCTCTCAGTCGCGCTTTTTCTCACCACTTTTTTTCCTGTTTGCCTTTCGCACTATTTTTCTTTTTTTTTTTTTTTACATTTTGCTCTTGTAATGAACAAATTGCAGATTAACTGTGTTGCATCTCATCACAGATGAAATACTAACCTCATTGTGGTACATAAAACGTAACACTACCTGGACCTGTGATAGCTTCAGCTGCCTGAAAACAGATATTTCTCAAAAAGGTTTGGATACTGATCACTAAGCCTCTGACAAAGACAACAGTGAATGTGTTTTAACATCTGAAGTGCTAAAGTTCAGGATCTGTGGGGAGCAGAAACATAATCTTTTTAGTTAAAGGGGACCTGAAGTGTCCGTGTGTTTTCTGCTTTTCAGAATTACAGCTTCATAATTTTTATTCTCCTAAAAAGTTTTCTATAATTAGCGGCCAAATGAACAGCTAAAGTTTAATATTTTCCTCTATTTCTGCATGCACGATCAAAGATAATATAATGAAGTTATTGTTAAATTTAACATGTAAAATGAATCATTCCCTACACAAGTCATAAAGTGTTTGCTCGTCAGTTCAGGATGTGAGGCGACTCTCATGTAAAGGACAAATTAAATACGATTATTTTAGATGTTAGAGTTAGATGAGACGATCGTTATCACACTCGTGTTTGCACGGCAAATCTGAAGCTACAGCCAGCAGCTGCTTCGCTTAGCTGCTTGCACAGATTAAACAAACAGGTAACATGTAAAGTTGTTAAATCAGCGAGCTTTTACAGATGCTAGGCGGCAGATTATCTATCAGGGTGGAATCAATCCTCTCATCAAACTCGATGTTATTCAAAGTAAATAACCGTAGTTCCCAAAATTTGTCAAATTTTAAATTGAATCTTTCCAATGTGACACAAATGCATCTTAAATCACAGCGTGTCCCAAATCCACCCTATAATACTATTTAAAAAAAATCAACATTTACCATTTTATACTAACAGGAAATTATACATTATGAGCAACTTCTCACTGCCAGTTAAACTTCATAAACAGAAAGCCAAAAATATCTCTTAAGATTTAATAATTGTTTTGTTCTCCCCTGGCTTTTTGGAGTTTTCTCACCACGATCTGCAGTTTATTTAGATTTCTCTAATCTTATATCTGTGAGCAGCTCCTCCATTTTCCCCTGTGGGAGAATAATGTCCATCAACAGCAGTCAAAAATCAACCGTTCCGCATGGAAACTTTTTAAAATGCTTAGTTTTGTCGCGTTTCCAGTGAGGACACGACATTCTCAAACCCTGTTTTGAATTAGTGTGGAATTGGGCTTGTCTTTTCATTTGATTACCTTTCTCCTTTATATGGAAAACCAAGACTGTGATGAAGAATTTCATAACAAAACATCACAAAACATGTCTGCCTGTAGAAGAAGCTACTGACGTTCAGCATCTTAAAGATCTTTGAAGGATTCAGTTCACAACCTTAAAATAAGCCTTAAAAGCCTCAGAAGTGTTGGGACAGCGATCTAAAGATTGTTCTTTTTTTAAATTCGTTTTACTTTATAATATAATATAAACTCCACAGATTAATGTTTTTGGTTTCTCTCGGCCTCCCTGTGAAAATAATGATCTAAGCAACAACAAGTTTCACGCAAAGAAAAGATCCACTGAAAGCATTTTAACAAAAGAGTTTATTATTGTAAACTTCACATGAAAAATAACTCTTACTGTCCACTAACATACAAACATGAACTGTTGAACACAAACACAGATACTTTAACGTCTGTCTTCAACGGCGGCCATGTTGATTCCAATGAGTGAAAAGTAATTTGTGATATTTATTTATTTGCTGCACTAAAAGCTTTGCTAAGAGATTTATTTTGTTTTTGTTTTATTTTTATTTCAAAAAAGGAGCTCTTCTGTTGTTTTGATACCGTGTGTGTGTATATGTGTGTGTGTGTATGTATGTATATATGTATGTATATATATATATATATATATATATATATATATATATATATATATATATATATATATATATAATTAATGATTTCTGTTTTGTTACAGATTAAAATGCAAGGTTTGAAAGGGGCGATTATATTTGATGAATGAGTGAACATGTCATAAATAACGATTATTAAAGTTGAGGTGTTGGTTTCACATGTCTGTTTTATGTTGTCAATACTGACAACACTGACTGAGTGTGTGAGGTCTTGAAAACGCATCATAATTTTTTTTTATGAGGACCTTGAAATGCAAGGTTTAAGTCTTTTTCTTTTTTTTAAACAGTGCTCAAAACCCACTAAACATTAGATGTTTTTTATTCTATTGATTAGCGGATGTTCTCTAGCGCCACTTAGGGGAGACTAAAGATTAAAAACACTAACTGAGAACCTTTAAAACCTTTAAACAGTAAAAAAACATGGATATTATGAGTTTTATGGTGGTCAGTTGTGAGTGTTAAAATTACTGGTTTAAACCACAGATTTATCACCGGTGGTGTAAAGAAAACTATATTTACTCAAGTACTGATCAAAAATGAGGGACTTCTACTTTATCAATTTGATCGGCTTTTGATGTAAATCAAGGGTAAGAAATTGGTCAATTTCAGATTCAGAGGGACGTTTGGGGAAATGGTTCTACAAAGTTTCTGATTTGAAGAAGCAGAAGAGATGGATATTAGGCAAATTATGTTCTGCTGAAATTAGAAGGGAGAGGAAACCCCATCGTACAAATCATTAACTGTTCGAGGCCTCTGATGGACCAGTTGTGAAAATGCAGGTTTAAAAATGACTGGGAGAAAAAGTGAAAGTTTAGGATTGGTATTTGGATCGAAGCTCTGTGTAAACTGTGCTGTGTAGTGTTTTCTGAAATTAAACCATTATTAATAGTATCAGTGACGACCAGCTTGTTTGTCAAAATAATAAAAAGAGTCAGTTTTAAATAACACAGTATCAATAACAATCAAAAGGGTAACCAAGTGAAATAATTTTACATATGAAAAAGTAGACAATAGAAACAAAAAAGTTAATTATCCACCAAAATTACAACAAAAAAACCCAATGAAAAATTTATATTTATAAATATATTTGGAATAATGGGACAGCATGAGAAGCAAGTGCAGCTAAACGGGTTAAATTCAGTGATGTCTCCCTTTAAAGAAATAAACATCATGAATATAATCATCCTCTTTATCTCTAACTGCTCTGTTTCATTGTCACACAGACCTTCAGAGGTGATATTTTTAGTTCATCCCCAGTGAAAATAAATGGAAACATCCTCTCAGTGAAAGTGTGTGTGAAGGTGTGTATGTGTGTGTTAGTATCAGGATCAGAGAACAACAGTTTTCCTCTGTTCCAGTCCAGATTCACTCTGATCCTCTGGGGCTTCTTCTGCACTCTGAGAACAGAAAGTGGACCTGGTAGTGAACGTGCGTAATAATTACCTTTATGCAACCCTATTGTCCATAATCCAGACTGGATGAGTCCCTTCCTCTGGACAGACTCTGCTAACACACCCAGTGACCAGACTACACTGTTTCCAACCTCGACATCCCAGCTGTGAGTCCCTGAGTTGAAGCCCTCAGAGCCCAGAACAGACGGGAATTTATCAAACCTCTCTGGATTGTCAGGAAGCTGCTGTCTCTCTCCTCGTCTCACACTGGTCAGATCTTCTGACAGGATGAGTGTTGGATAAACAGTCTTTGGATCCAGAATCACAGGAGTGTAGGAGACCATGTCCTTCATCTTGTTCCAGATGTTGAAGGTCAGGTTGCCCAGGTGTTTGGCCTGGTCTATCAGAGCTCCTGAGGGCAGCTGTGGATCATCCAGCAGGGGGCGCTGCTGGACTCTTTCCACTGCAGCCCTTGTAGCTGAGCAGGAATGAGACGTCTTCAGCTCTCAGCTCCTCCTCTGTGGCTCTGACTGTGTCTGAAAGAGCTGCTATCTCTCTGCTCAGAGCCTCCATCTTCTCCTTCATCATCTGACTCTTCTGCTCCTCTTCCTCCCTCAGTGCAGCCATCCTGGCCTCCTCTTCCTCATCTAGAAACTGGTGAAGCTTCTTAAACTGCTCCTTAATCTGCCTCTCTGTGTGTCGAGCCTGGACCTTAATGTGTTCTGCTGTTTGGTCAAACTTCACTTTAACTTGTTCACAAACCTTTAACTTCTCCTTTAAGGACTCCAGAGTTTCCTGAAGTTCCTTCTTGTGTTGTCGTGCAGCTTCATCGATGGGTCTGAATCTGTGGTTGCTGTGTTTTTCTGAATCTCTGCAGACGACACACACACTGGCTGCTGATGGTCCAGACAGAAGAGTTTGAGTTTCTCAGAGTGCAGACTGCAGAGAGCCTCTGAAGCTCTCTGATCTCTCTCCTGCAAGAAGTCCTCACACAGGTTCTTCAACACCAGGTTACAAGGTGGTTCTGCCTTTGAAGATCTCCTTTTACAAACTGGACACTCACGTGATTGTTGACTGTTTGTTTCTGTCTCCACCATCTCATCAGACAGTCTTTACAGAAGCTGTGGCTACATGACAGAAGAACAGGATCTCTGAAGACGTCATGACAGACCGGACAGCAGAGATCCTCCTCTGATTTGGAAGCCATTTTTTTCTCTGAGTGAAGCTGAAACCACAGAAAGTATAGGCTACAGTTAGTCATGACTCCCTTCCCTTCTCGTCTACTAACTTTCACCTTGCGTCATGTTTTTAGTCAGACTCACCTTCAGAGTGTGGAGCGTCAGCAGGTTGAAGCAGCAGTGTTGTAGTTTTCCACTTTTCTCTCCTGTAGCTGGACTCACTCAGAAGAAGTTGTTTTTCAGTCTGTTCGTCTCTTTAGTGGGGAAGGAGAAAAAAACTGTTTCCTGGTTTGTCTCTGATCAGGTGAGGGGTGGACCTTTTTCAGACCTCCTCTGCTGAATGCTCATGTCGTTTAACCTGTAAAACAGGGTTGTGTTTCAGGGCAAACTATCGATAGATTGCTGAAAATGTAGACTGCTGATGTTCAGCATGCTGTTGCCGAAGTACAGGACTTGACTGGATGTACTGCACAGAGTATTTTCTTGTTTTATGAAGAGAAACAGCAGAGAAAGATTTCATTTTTAAATCACCATCATCACATAAAATCTGAACCAAAACTGTGACGTCCACCTTAAAACAGAGATGTCCACCTTAAATAGAACAACTCCTCCTCTGACAAATATAATATGAGAGTGGTATTGCTTCAAGGTAACATAAGCATAAAAGCATCTTCCAGCAATTAACCATTCCTCCTCTCCACCAGCCTTTCCTCAGTTTAGCTGCTCCATACTGGGCCCAGATAACTGAAATGTCTGCATCCAGCGCACAGTTTGAGTTTTATCAGATAAAATGTCCACACATTCTGCTCTTACATTATACTGAGTTGAATATTTGCTCTTTTGTTTGTACTTTTGCACAAGTAAAAGCTGCTTTACACACTAAAAGGCTATTTAAATTATTTTTTTTGTGTTTTGAGGTGTCAGTACACTACAGCGGTTCCTTGTAGGAAGGTGCATCTAAATAAGAATCAAATAGAATCTGACTAATAAAGGAACAACAACCAAACAAAAGAGCTCTGATGCTAGCAAGACTATCAAGATTTATGTTAGCAAAATGTATTCAGGCAGAACGACGTGTAAAGTATATGATGGACAGGTTTCTGACAGAGAAGAAAAAACAGGTTGTCATCAAGCAAACATGTCACTCACTTCAGTCTGTAGCCTTGTAACATTTACACTATGTGGACAAAAGTACTGGGACACCTACGCACAACTTTTATAACATCCCATTCTAAATCCATAGGCCTTAATATGGAGTTGGTCCCCACTTTGCAGCTATAAATGAATGAATGATTATTATAACAGCTTCCACTCTAGGAAAGCTTTTGAATGTGCTTCGGGACAGAGACTGCAGTCGTGTTAGAGGAAAGTTCTGCTTGTAAAAACTGAACTTTGCGAGAGTGAAGATAAACATTACAGTTTTACATCAGTCCACACCCATAAAAGTTCAACAGCTAACACAAAGTCATATCAGATCTGTTAGAGGACAAACCCTCCATTCAGAATCTGTTTTAATGGCCAGGTATGAGTACACACTTGAGGAATTTGACTACAGTCTTACATTGCTCTCAGTGTACATACACAGAACAAGCATAGATGAAAAGCGCTCAGCAATACACACATAGGCCTATTGAAATACTACATTTGTGTATTGAGTATAATGCAATGAGACGCTGGATTAAATATTTTTGTGCAGGTGTTATTATGTACATGAGGCAGGTGGATGTGTGAGATATACAGTTTATACAATTTGACCAGCTACTGAATTACAAAAATGATGAATAAATAGTAAAGAGTTTACTGGTGAATTAGATGTCAGAGTCACAAGGTTATTGCACAGGGATTGTTCCTGACACTGTGTGTCTGGAGTTTATCCAGTGATGGCTTGTGGGTAGAAACGCTTCCTGTGTCTGATTGTGTGTTGGATCTGTCGTGATTCATCAACTACTAAAGAAGTCTCAACACTTACTGAGACTTGAAAGAACTCTATTTGTTTTTCTGACTCTTAATATATAAATCTATAACCAGCATGTGATAATGGAGATAATAAGCAACTGTGATACCTGGATCCAGGCAGTATTTATACATATTATATAAAATACATATTTGAAATACAAAATAGTATTTTTTAATTGTAATTGTATTTTGGCTTCATATTTCGTATCAGAATACTTTAGTTTTTATATTTTGTAGTTTAAAAATACTGTAAAAAGCAAATTCTGTGTAAAGTCTACTTGATGATGTCATAAAAACACTGCATTTGATTGGTGCCTACTCAGTAATTTGACCAGACTTGTTGAGATCAGAACAGAAAACTG